TGCAGGAATTCAGCCCCAGTCAGCTTGGAGGCACATGCTTGCATCTCATTTTGCCCCAGGAGCCGCCTCATGTGGGACAGGAGGATTGTTATTCGCTCCACCTTCAGCCCCACCCACACTGATCCATTCCATTTGGTGTTGTTCAAGGAGGGCTCACCCAGCAAGACTTGAAACATAGCTTGCCTGAGGCAAGCCCCATGAATCTCACATATGGGTGACAGTTCAAGCCTGAGTGCTTGGAAATCTCCTTGAGGAGCAGTCCTGGGTCTATGTGAGGTTTGGGGGTGTGCCTGGCCCCACCTTTGCCAACACTCATGACCCTTTTACCAAGGGCACTAGTGACCTTTTACCAAGGGCACTATACCTTTTACCAAGGGCGCTGGCAAGCAATCCCTTTTATCAAGGGTTGCCCATGTGCACAAGCATTCTAGGATTTGAGCCCAAGTTCCAGAGGCACAGGACCCAAACTCACATCAATAGAATTGTCAAAAAAAATCAATAGAAAGCAAGAAGAAAATGACAAATTAATATCAACAGAATTTGGGAAAACACAACATACTTCAAATATTGATTTAATCAATAGAAACGACAAAAATCAATATCAATTCAGAACATGAACTTCCCATTGATTTAAATCAATAGCCGATGCCCAGGGGATCCTTCTCTGGCATCCGGCGACTCCAAGCAGAAAGTGCACGCTGGCCCCTACTCGAAGGCAAGGGCAACCCCGGCCGCCTTTGGCAGCGACAAGAACTTATCTAAAGCCAAGGAGCTCTTTGCTCCAAGAGGGGTGAACTTACCGGACTGCTGCTGATGCGCCCCACGGCATGAGCGCCACCTGGAACAAAGGGTAGACCAAGCTTTCTTGGCGCGGAACCAGCTGCGACGCGCGGACCACCGCGCCCTCGGCATCCACAGGAACGTTGTCTCTCTCGTTCCACGTGCGCATGGCGCAAGCCAGTTTTTTGCGGACAGACTCTGTCTCGATCCGAGAGGCGTCAAATGCGAGAGTCAAAACTACCAACAGCTCGAAGGCCAAGACTTTGAACATCTTTGGCGGACATTTCCTGGACCACTTGAATCACGGCTGCATTGGGCGGCAGTTGTGGGTTCACGAAACGACATCCAAGCTTGCGCCTTCGCCGCCGCCCCAAGGCGCACGCTTCACAGAGTGTGGGACTGAAACTATGCGTGGACTTGTTGCTCGCTCCGAAGTTGCGCGTAAGCCTGCCCAATTGTGGAACTTCCAGCCAGGGGCTTCGTTGTTGGAACGCCCCCGCACCTGAACAACCCGGCAGCTTCGGCCTCCTTCAGGATGTGTTGGAAGTTGATCTCCTTCGCGCCAAACTTTTGCCGACCACGACAAAGACGTGCTCCAGCGCGGTCTTCATCTCTGGCCAGTACCCTGCCGCTGACTTGCTTCGGATCTCCAGCCTCGATCCTGCAACGTCGGACTGCACCTGCGCCCACTGCCCTGCAAACGAGCAGCGCGTGCGTAGCATGTAACTTGCGTTACTTCCTCTTCACTTGTTCAAGGCAGACTGAGGGTTGACAGCTCGATTTGTCTTCTTTGATTCTACGGAAGGTGGGGCGCGGCTGCTCTTGGTCGTGACAGGTTTATTTGCACCCTGACGACCCACGACCTGCCCTCGTTGTCTAGAGCCCGTTGGCCCACGCCTATCAATTGGGTTTTGGCATCGTTTTAGGCTGTTGGTTTGGGATTGGCTCAAGGTCCAAGGGTGGGTATGGTGTCTGTTTGCAGTTATAGGTGTAGGTGTGGGGGCTTAAAGACTAGTTTGCAGTGGGAATGCTTTGGGGTTGCGGGTTGGTTTAGGGTGGGTTTGGCGAAGAGGTGGTTGAACGTGAATTTGGGGGGTGGCTTATTGTTGGTGTCGGGTTGGTTTAAGGTTGAGGCTCGGGTGGGTTGAAGGTCTGTCTAGAGCGGTTTAGACAGGGAGGGTTTTAGGCAGTGTGGGCCGGGGTTGGTTATGGCAGTTGAGCATGGGATGTTCCGCTGGCAAAGGACGGCCGCAGCAATGTGGGCTGTTCGCTGAACGTCGCCGAATTTCACAACTGTGTCGATCGAAATTCACATTCTTATCAGCCAAGTTTCACAGCAGCGTCCGCCGATGTTGTCGGCTGAGTTTCACATCAACCGCCTGTTTGATGATTTGCTTTTGCGCTGCGTGTCATATGTGCCGCTGGGTTGTTGGTTTACCGTTTTGCTCGGTTGGAGTTTTAGGAGGTTTGCTTGACGACCAACATCTGCCGGGTAGCTTTTGGTTTTGGTCAAAATTGTCGGGCTCAAAGATTCGGACGTGTAACGATCGCAGGGTACCTGCCCATAACCTCGCAAGCCAGACTCGCATTTCGAACCCCGCCCAATTTAGTTCCAGCCCGTAAGGCGCAAGCTGCTTGTTCTGGCATCACTGTTGAACACGTGGATTCAAAGACAATCAGCCGAAATGTTTTGGCAGGCGCTGGTGATGCGTTAGTGTAGACGCTGATGCGCATTGAGGCTTGCGCTGAGCGTGGGGGTTGCTGGGCAACGTGAGACTGCGCTCTCCAGCGCTGAGGAAGCCCCGACAAAGGAACCTGAAGGCTGGGCAGTAACTGTGGTTTTGGTCCTTGCGCATGACCCGAACTGCGTTCACGTCAAAATCAACGACAAGATTGCAAGAAACCCGCCAAATCACCAACAGTTCAGTCTGTGTACAACGCAGCGAAAGGAGTCGAAGTTCCCATTGAAAAATACTGAGAAGGGGCGGCGTTCATGAGGAATATTTGATTTGCTAAAAGAAGAAGTAAGCGTAGTGGTGCTGATCACCGGCAGCTGGGCTATCTTGCAGAACCACCTTGCGGCTTTGATTGGCGTGGTGAAGCTAGCCCCACACTCCTTCTGATCTTGCCGGGTCAAGCCCAAGGCCAGCAGCATGTCTGCAAGTTGAACCTGCCAAAATCCAGGCGCAAGTCTCATGCACGCAAAGACGTTCTTCCATGCGTTGTAGCATCCGCAAAATGTGTGCATCGAAGTTCGCTGATTGCCAAGTCAGCACGCAGCTGCGAAAACAATCTGACTTGTTCCAACTCATGTTTGAAAAGGCGCGCGACTCGAGAGTGCTCCTCGTGTAGTCTAGAAACTCGGGCGCGCAAAAGTGGCGGCGCCTCTGCTTCAACTTGTAGCAGGGCATCATCACGCGCAGGTGGCAAGCGTTTGCGTTGCTGGCTGATGGCTGGCGTTCTCTGAGAGGCCACCGGCCTGGAAAATGCTTGAGATAACTCTCTGCGTGTCGGTGGGACTGGCAAGCCGCCCGATTGTGGCAGCAGAGTAGGGCCATTTGATTTAGGCCGCGGGAAAACAGGAGTTGCTAATGGAGATGATGACTTGGCAGTAGAAGGCCTAAATGGCCGTCCAAGTTGGCTGGGCGTAGGGGATGCAGAGCCGTCTGGCAAGCCCGAAGTCATCAAGTCAGGCGCTGACCATGGCGCCCGGCTCAAAGCCCGAAAGTTGCAAATGCTTACTTGGGCCCAAAATGTGCCAAAACAGGCACAAGCCACATTGGAAAACATGTACGCAACGCATAACGGGGTACTGCAGTTCAAGTGCACGGAAATAGAGGCAACTCTGGGGGGGGAAATGACGCTGCAATGCAAACCCTGCCTCAGCTTAACGCGGGGGAACTTAAAAGGACATGCAGGGGTGCAATGTCGGCGGACTAAGCCGTTGTTACTTGCTGCTTCAAGAACACCTACTCTTTGGATGACCCGCACTTGAAATCGGGTGCGGATTCATTTTGTTTTTTTTGTTGAATGTTTTTAGTTTTTCGTCCGGGCCAGTAAAATGTCGTATTTTATAGCATTTTCTCGCGAAATTGATGCATTTTACACTAGCCCGTCAACATCCCCAGCATTGTTTTCAACATCCCCGCCGACCAACATCCCTAGCATTACCAACAAATCGTGGGTCAAAAAATAATGATTCAAACAGGAGGGCATTTAAATCATCACTTCTTCGGACATCATGGGAGGGGAACCCCCCGCCCAAACCATCCGCTACTGTTTAGATTGTTTGCAGAGTAATTGCACCCGTATTTGAATCAACGCTTCTTCAAACATCATGGGGGGGGGTTGCCGCCTCCCCCCGTTACTTTTTAGATTTCTTGCAGAGATTGAATTGCACCCCTGTTTGAATCATCACTTTTTCGAGCGTCCAATTTCGCGAGAAAATGCTGCAAAATACGACATTTTAGGTAATCTGTGTAATCCATGTATGTCTGTATGTATGCATTTCTTCGAACATCATAGCGGAAGCCACCCCCGCCAACCCTCCCGCTGCCTTTTAAATTCTATTGCACCCTTTCTTGAATCATTGCACCCCTACTTGAATCATCACTTCTTCCGACATCATGGGGGGGGCTGCCGCCCCCCCCCCCCCAATCCCCCCGCTACGTTTTAGATTTTCTACAGAGATTTAATTGCACCCCTAGTTGAATCATCAATTCTTTGAACATCAGGGGGGGGGGCTGCCGCCCCCCCCAAACCCCCCGCGAGTTTTTAGACTTTTTGCAGAGATTTAATTGCACCCGTATTCGAATCATCACTTCTGCGACCATCATGGGGGGGGCTGCCGCCCCCCCCAGCCCCCCCGCTTTAAAAAAAAAAAAAAATCTGGGATTGAAATAGGGAGGTGGTGATGCTGATGATGCGGGAAGCCAAATCCAAAAACCAATGAAAGGGCGCAAAAGCCAAAAGGATGCGAAAAGCCAAAGCCAAAAGCCGCATAAACCAGCGAAAAGCCGCAAAAGCCAAAATGCCACCTGCCGAAGAGGAACTGGGAATGCAGAGGATGCGAAAAGCCAAAAAGCCACCAAAAGCGCCGAGAAGCCAAGAAGCCGAAAAGCCAAGAAGCCAGAAGCGAGAGAAAAAAAAAAAAAAAAACGAGAAAAACATCTAAAATAAATACCCCTCCCTTGAAATCTTCGAAAGAAATCCCTCCCGTCCTTGAGCTTCTGCATCAAAGCGCTGGAGGTGATGGAGTCTGTCACCTTCACCAAAACTGGCATATGTGCCGTGGTCAAGAAAACTGAGGTCATGTTGATCCTCGATAAGAATCCCTTTGGTTGTCTGAACCCCCCCCCCATTGATAAAGGGGTCCAGCACTCTAATGCAAAGCATCATAGGACCCGCGGGAAACTCCTGGTTGAAGAATGGGCCGGCCCCTTGCATCAGGGAACTTGGGTCTCCCCATGTCCTCCCCATTGTTGAATGCCCCCTCGCCAGCAACTGGCCAGGTTTTTGAATTCGGCTCAACTGTCCATGGCTCATCATGGCTCATCTTACTTGGCGAGGAAAACTCGCAGGTTCCGAAGGGAAGTTGGCCAAAGGACGGCAATATGCCGATACCAAATTCGAGAATTCGGAATACCCTGCCAATTTACATGGTCTCTTCAGCATCCCAGAACTCCGAAGCCGCTGAAGCCTACAAGTGGAAGGCCCTTCTTGCAGCAGTTCTGCGAAAATGCGTCCTTGACAATTCGGCCACGGCAAAGGCATGTCAAAACTAGTTTCCCAATTTCCCCAAGAATTCCATTTGGCGACAGACCGATTTTCACGCGGACCCGGAGCACCTGCTTCTCCTTCTGCTGCCCGCTCGCACTAAGGCCGGATGCGTAGTCCTGGCACATGAATCCGCTGTCGATTTGTGCACTGGAAAGTGAAACAGGCTTAGGGTAGACCGAAATTGCTTGTCAGAGGCTTCAATTGCAATAAGGGAATAGGGCCCATAGAGATCGAAACTTCCGCGTCCAAAATCGAAGGCACCCAAGACTCCGTGCCCCGGTAGCCCACATAGGATTCAGGATTCCAACTCCATCCCAAACTCCGGCCGCGGGTGTGATGAACGAGCAGAAGGTCGCGCCTCCGGCAAGTTGAAGTCCCTAAGCGAAGGAACCGCTCGAAACGATGGACACCATCCCTCATCCCTCAGAACACAGGTCGCGAACATCTGGCGTGCGGCCAGGGCTCGGAAACAATTTGGCATCTGACAGAACCTCAGCTCTGTGACAGTCTGTGAATGATCTGAAGTCGGCGTTATGGCATCTTCGGAAAGTCAACCGAGTCTGGCACCACCTTGTGACTCAGCTGCACCTGAGTGCCGTCGACCCGCGATCAACAGGGGTCCTTACATTATACACCTGAACATTGCCTTGTAAATGGTGGTTTCCCTCTATTGTGGTGGAAAAAGCCATGTTTCAAATGGGCAAAATGTATCTTTTAAGGAGCCCTGATCAATGGCAGTCATTCAACCCAAAGCCCCATGAGTCGAAGGAAATCCAAATGCCGCTCTCGTGGACTGCAAGCAAATTCTCCGCCTGATGAGCATGCCTACTGTTGACAGCGAGACATCAAAGCCACAGAGTACTGACCAGCACTAGGAACATCGCGAGTGGCAAAAACACATGAGAGAGGTGCCCCAAAGCCAAGCGCAAGCAGTCGTTTGCACAGGTCCAAACACGGCGTTGCTAAAATCGAATGAATTGCAATGTGTCTCTTGTCGCACAAGGAGCGGCCAAATAAGAAACCGACCCCAAAGTTATGGCTTGCTCCAGGCTCGCCAGTGTCCAAACTCCCAGCTTCCATATATCAAGAGAAGGCAAAGGCCACGGAACATACCCTCCAAAAAATCACAGGGCTCCAAACACCTCAGAAATTCGTGCCCAATGGAAGCGAAAGGGCATCCCAACCACTCACACCACCCAATAACCATGGGGTACCCCCAGTGAACATGAACCAATCCCCACACAAATAGGTTCTAAAATGGGTGGTGAATTCACCTACCAACCAAAATGGGATCCCATTGGTTTTGACCCACAGCCAAATCAGGGCGAAAATGACCGAGCTGAGGCCCTCGCTAAAGCGCTCACGGAGTCCCGGCGGTGGGACACCTTCGGCAGGGCGGTGGACAGCGCGTCCTTGCCCTGGTGCGCATTCGATTCGATCGAGTGGCGCGCGGCCGCGTTGGGCGCGTTGGGCACGTGGCTCGTCTGACTTTTTTTGTCATAAACCCCCCCAAAAAAAACGGGGTGTTCCCCCAAGAACTCAAGGACTTCGTCTCAGACCTTCCCTGCGTCCGGGCGCCCCAAACCTCTTCTTCTATTGGCCATGGGTCAAAAGCCCGGTTAGCCCCCAGTGAACATCCCAATCCCCACCATACACTTTATCATGGGTGGTGAATTCACCTACCCACCAGAATGGGATCCCATAGGTCTTGACCCAGCGCACCCCAAAATCCAAAAATAAAAAAAAAACCCAAAACGGTGTTGACCACGGCATCCCACGAATCGGCCGAGCCGCTCCGCCGCTCCCTCGGTCCCCGAGCCTCGGGCAGGTGGAAGATGTGCACCCGCCCGGCGCCGGCCACCCGCTTCTCCTGGAGCTCCTGGCTCAGCGCCGCGTGGGAGCCTCGAGGAGTCGAGCAGAAAGCGAAGCGGAAGGCGAGGGGCGAATGGGGCGCTGGCGGGCCGCGGTCGGGGGATTCTAGGGGTGGAAAGTCCAATGGTCCATTCTGTTCAGCCATCGCTCTTTTCAAGAACCGATCGCTGGTTTCCCAGGGTGGTTGGTGGTTTTCTAGAAAGAAGGATCCCTGGAAAGAATGGGGAAGCTACCCTTAGAAGAGTGTTACTTGAGTCATAAATCAAAACCCGGTACAGAACTGGTGAACCCAAGACCGCGGCCCGGGTTTGGAGTGTGGCTCACTTGATGGTTGCTCAACGAAAATTAGGAGCCTCCTGGTGGTACAACCAAGAGGAAGCTCACCATTTGGAGGGCTTTGGTTTGACAAACTGCTCCAATGAAGCCCTAAGGCGCCGGCCATATGCGTAGTAGTAATCCCCGACGTTGGAGCTCAGCCCGGTTTTGGCGTGTGGGGTGTGCACCACGTGGTCCCCCACCTCACTGGTCGCAAAGCCGCGGGCTTTGCAAGCCGAGACACTGGGGTGGTTTTGGACCCGTTTCACCCGGAATTCAAACAAACGCAAAACGAAAACCACCATTCTCGGGGTCTCCCGATCTTTGACAAAGAAACCTTGGAAGACATAGAGTTCCGAGCTGCTCAGTGCCCAACCGCGAGATGCTCTGTTTTCAATTTACGAATGCATCTGCAGCTCACGAAGTTTTTCTTTGCGTCCGAACCCAGGTAGTTCGGTCTTCCGCTGTTCCGTGGCTTTGCTCTTAGTTCTGCAAAAGCCTGCCCCCTGCCTGCGCCCACCACTTGCCCTCGAGCATGGACTTCGCATTGAGGTTGATGCGCGGCAACTCGGAGGTCGCGGCGACCGCCGTCACCAGCGACAGGACGGCGCGCATGGAGACCGGTACCTCGACGCGGAATCGAACGAGCATGGTGTTAATCGCACGGATCCATGGGGTCCAGAGATGTCAGCTGTGAGCCACCGCCCACATGTGAACCGTTCAACTCAGCAAACTCGGGGGCTCGTGGAACTTCGATCAAAGGCCATCCCAGCGTGCGGACCAAAAAAGGGCGAGCGGCCCGTCAGGCATGTCTTCCATCTGCGCCTTTCAAGCCGTTCCTTTCCGAACGAGGGGGTCCAAAGTGAAGGAAACCCAGAGCAAAGCTGGCCTAAGGCACAAGGGCCTTTGATAGTCCGTGACCGTTCCTCTGGCCGTTCCATGTCGTTCTAGCAAGACTACGAGGACCCGGCCGGCCGAGCCCCCATACGAGCATGGCAAACCACGGTTGTCTTGGGGTGGTCCCCAGGCCCCAAGGTCCCGAAGCTTGAAGCTGAGGCTCGTTGAGCAGAAGCGGGCCTGGGCGCACGCGGGCTGATCCAGTGGAAACAAAGGAGCCATAGGAGGGGCCCACTCAGCGGAACCAGCCATCCCCAAAAAGCGAAGAGCACGTGATCCACGCAAAGAAACTCGCAGCGGAGGCAAACGGTCAACAACTTGCCCTGCCAAAGGCAACCGCTCCAAAGACCACGCTTGACCTCTAAGAGGGTTTCCCAGACATGCTATGTAACACGTCATATACCCAGTGCGCTGTGGGGCTGGTGATCTGGGAGTTGACCGCACACCCAAGGCCGATGCGAGAATGTAAATGTGGGCAAGTAAGGCGCCCGGTTTGAGCCACGTGACTGCGAGGCACGCGCTGAGCGTTTTTCTTGATCCCTGGAAAAGGAAACAAAAGGACCCCCCGTCCAACTCTCCGCCCTGATTGCTTGGTCGTTTGGAAGTTGGCAACCCTGCTCCACCTCAAGCCCTGCAGCGCATGGGAGAAAGGGAGATTCGGAAAGCTGGACAAACAACGACGAAGAAAGACAATTTAACAAAAAAAATGAAAACAGCAGGGGCGCCAAGTTGCCAAGAAACAAGTAAAACAAAAGTTTCTCTAAAGCCAGGTTCACATGCTCAGCGACCTAGCCCGAAAGCTGTTCGCCAGAAACCAATGGAAGCCACCGATGAGGCTGCAGTCGGAGACACATCAAAAAGGATCCATGGTCTTGGGCACGTGGGCCCCTTCCTTTGGGTGTGTTCAGAATAAAGAACACATCCGGACACCACATGTTTGAACCACTTCCTTCAATCGTATGGCCCATTGATGAACTTCTTATTTTTTCCACCAAACATGGGCCCGAACACATGCAACCTGGGGGGCATACATAAGTTTTTTTGGACCAAACCTACCAAGAGACAGCCCCATCATTGTCAGATTTGGGCGGTTAGGCCCCGGAGCCCGGGCGGAAAAAACCAAATCCGCCGCCGCCGACGCCTCAAGGCGCCCCGCAGCACCACTGGGGTCTCCAGCCTCAGGCTCCCTATTTGGCCCTCGGGCACTGCGCGGTAGCCCATGGCTGGAGTCGGTTGAAGGAAGAGGCGAGACGAAATACATGGGTGTGAATTTAATTAGGGGACCCTTTGGTGGAGAGCATTTAGGTGGGGGTTGTCAAGGCTTGCTAGGGGACCCTTTGGTGGAGATCATTTAGCCGGGGGGTTGATGTCCACCAACCAATTTGGAGGTGGCTGCCACCTTGGCGACAACCAGCTGTTTGATGTGTGCCTTTTGGGAGGCCAAAGGGAAACCCTTTGCATTTGATTGCGAGCCCTGCACACAAAGCAGGCGGCATGCCCGACATGTCCTCACGGCAAGCTGCGTGATGTAACACAGTCAGCTGTTCTTCAGGCATTGGCACAGCCAAGTGGTGGCATTTGGTGCGCTGCAGTTGCAGCGACTTGGCGTTGACCCAAAGACCTTTGTATGCTGCTTAGACAGAGACAATTATACCTTTGCTGGTAGGGGGGCATTGCTGTGGAAACTCCAATAGCGCTAGCATGAGTCTGCAAAAGCAAATGGCAGAGATAAGGCAGGTTGTGTCTGAGCACTGACAGCAGCTTGCCATGCGAAGCCCAACATCTAAATCAGCCGCGCATTTTTGGTGTCACGGCCAAACCGACGCGGTGAGTGGCGGACGACACCAGGCTAACGCCAGCAAGAGAAAAGTATCAACTTGTCCATGGCGCAGGACAGTCTGCGACCTCTGCTCTGTTCAAATGTCTCCTCCAGAGACACCTGATGCCTTGTCAGAGGCTCGCATCGGCGGCCAACTCTCTGAGCGAAGCTTCGCGAAGATTCTCTCCAGCAGGGGCCAGAGGATCGGAAAATCAAAACTTGAGGCCTCTCAAAAGGATGTGCCTGCACGGCGTCACAGTGACCAAACGAAGCCGTTTGGGGTTCGGGGCTCCAAGTGGTGCTGCCTGTAAGCCGACTTATGTAAGTGTAATGGGAGCCCAGGATGACGAAACCCCTGGTTCATTCATGGGGGGAGTCCAATTTCAGAAAGCATCCATGTTGAAATTCCGGCCGTGTATGGGCCAACATTACTCCTTGCTCTGCACACCATGCCCGTTTCAAATCCGTTGCGCCACGTCTGTTCAATGCAGGCATGACATTGAGCCAAGTGCACCAGGCCAGTCTGAGGCCAACCGGCCTACATAACTCATCCATGATCAAACCCGAGTCACTTGGATCGCGACTTCCCCATGTTGTTTTTTCTTGCAGTGGCCATCTACCAAGGCCGTGGCTCATGGCCAGAGGGAAAAAATGTGGTTCACGCTGCATTGCCCGGGTTGCTCCGGAGGACCTGATTGTCACAAGTCCAGAAAAGTTGGCAAAGGAAAATCGAAAGAGCCAACACTAATGGCCTACCCTTGTGGTTGAGCCATTGTTCAGTTCGGAGCAACCCTGTTGGTCAGTTCACACCGCCTGCTCCTTTGACTGTCAAGAAACAACACTTTGCTTGGGGGTCCCCCTCATGCGTTGGCAGAAGGCATACTCTCAAAGCAGGCAATTGATCTTTGCAGGAAAAACAGAGAGGATTCGAGCTTGATGGCGCTTCTTTAGCGTGCCAAACAAATGTTTCCAATGGGTTGGACTTCAAAACTGGGCCTACCCTTGTTTTGTCCACTCGCCCTCTGCTCAAAAGAAGCCCTAAACAAACCCCGAAGCATCTGCCAGGCCCGCCTGCCAGGCCCTTGTGGTCTCCGTAAGATTCCATCCTCGGCTTCTTGGCCGCCGGCATGTTGCCACCTCACAGGGGTCGTTTTTGGGTGTCGGCCGTGGGAAAGAGACCTCTTCGGTTGGGAGTAGCCACAGCAAAAGCCATGAGACCAGCAAGTTGTGGGGTCTCTGTAAACACGCTTGTGTGAAAGTGGTTGACATCTGAACGAAAGTCCTGCCAAGATCAAGATTTCTCTTCTCGGTTCCAGCATCTGCCAAGCTGTTGAAACATGTCACAGGCTCAAACATGCAACTCTTCCAACAGGGTCGCAGCGAACCTGCCAAGGCCGCGGGTTGAGTAGGCAAAAGAAGGGCTCAAGATACCTTTCAGCTCTTAGACCGATGAGCTTCCGGAATGATCCCGAGGACGTCGCGTCTCTCATCTCTCGCTCTCTCTCTCTCTCTCTCTCTCTAAGGGTTTTGGTATTCTATCTGGGAGTACGCCCACTGGGAAATGACCATCATGTTGGCCCATTTTGGGCCATTTCCCAATGGTGTAATCCTTGGCACACGAGCTCTTCCTAGCGGCCGTTCAAAAAAAAGAAAGTGTAATCCCAGGGTGTAACACAACAACCTTTCGACTCTCAGCCTTGCCTTCCCGGTCTGCAAAGCGGGTGGCGAGGCCGTCGCAGTTGATGCCTGTCATCGCCTGGTGCTCGGAGCTTCTTTTCGACCCAACCGAACTTCAATTATCGGTGTCAGGAAAAGCCGCGGCCGCTCCAAAACCCCTGTATACATGTATGTATGCATGTATGTATGTATGTATGTATGTATGTATGTATGTATGTATGTATGTATGTATGTATGTATATATATATATATGTGTATGTATATATATATATATATATATCACCCTCCCACCAATCAACATGGAATCGTTCGACGTTCGGGGGGTCCGGTTTATTGATGCGGGTGCTCAGGCTACGCAAAATGCGATGATTGCTTTCATCCAGGCCAACAAATGGTACTCGTTTGAGCCACAGCCATAATATAGGGGTGTCCCTGGTTGTGGGGTTTCAGACCACGTTTGGAGGGGAGCACCCCCCCCCCCTTTTTGTATACAGGGTTTTGTTCATCCGGAGTCAACAAAATTGGAAATTCATCGCGCCATGACTGGAAGCCAAAAAACCACTGCTTTCCCGCTTTGGCCTCAAGTTCACAACTGCATCTGCTCACATGGAATGGGCAGTGTCGGCCACGGTCAAATTATTGGCGGCTGAATTGTAAAATGATGGAAACCCAGGACCAAAAAAGATAAAAAGGATCACAAGGGATCAAAAAGGCGAGCCAAATCCAGCAATGAACTCATGTCCACTCTAGACTCATTGCGCGCACCTCGCCAATGTCTTCGGAGACTTCGGCGATCACCTGCCAGAGCAACCCATGACATATCCTGGTTCTGCCTGCCAATCCTAATCATCCGGCAAGCATTTCCGAAAGAACACACGAGCAAGCGATGGGACCGGCCAGCCACCCAACCGCCCAGCCAGCCATAACCAATCCTTGCCCCCCACTTCCAAGATGTGGGTGTGTCTTCTTCTGGGGAATCCTTTTGGGCTGCTTTTGAAGGGAGATTCAAGGGAACCACTGTTTTTTTTGGGGGGGGTCCACTAAAAACGACACCATGTGGGGCTCCACCCGGCGGCTCTGTCCGTCACTCCTGGGGATCATTGAAGTGCGTGACCGCCTGCACGGGAATGCAGCCAAATGATCTGCCGTTGGGTTCTGCGAGAGTTCCGTTGGGTTTGCTCCTGACGCCAGAATACGGTGCCATGACTTTCTCGTGGCTTTGATCGGCCGCGGAGGCGACTGTGGGAGGCACCGAATTGCATTTCGATCTGCGGCCTTGACAATGGCGCGGGCTCGCTTCGCAGGATCGGTCGACTTGAAGATGCCACTGCCAACCTGACACGGGCGGTCTAAATTCGTGACGCGTGCTCACCACATGGAGGCAATCGCACTTGCGCACGCAGCACAACTGCCTCCGGTCGTCCCTTGTCCCCTTCAGGAGTTAGCAGTAGACCAACAGCATCACTAATCTTCCCAGTTGCTGGCACTCGATCACCAAGGTACAATGCTACTCCACAACCAAACACACCACACAAAGATGCACAACACCACGCACATGGAAAGACAGAGCCAGAGCGAGAGAGAGAGAGAGAGAGAGAGAGAGAGAGAGAGAGAGACAGAGAGACAGAGAGAAAGAGAGAGAGAGAGAGAGATAGAGAGATAGAGATAGAGAGATAGAGATAGAGAGAGAGAGAGAGCAAAGAGAGTTGCATTGATCCCGCAAGCCACCGTCAAGAGATGCGGTGACCGCAAAGGAACTCCCTCGCCGAGCGGCAAAAACGCCGTCCACGCCCAGCTGCATGCCTCAGGTTGATTGGGACCCTTCGCTGGACAGTGGAGATCGGTTCCATGAACCACTTTTTGCAGCCGTTCCCCCCCCAAAAAAAAGAAAAGACAAGAAGAAACACACACGCCAGGGCAAAAAAGAAAAAAGAAAAACAAAAAAAAACATGAGGAGCAAAACAAACAAACTACTTAACTTAGGGGGGGGAAAAAGAACTGCCGAAGCTCAGATCCTGGTGCCTCGTGTAAAAGCCATGGGAGGCCACTAGAGGTCCCAGGTGCAAAGGGCGGCATCTGCCGGAGTAGCCACGCCGCCGGCGGCAAAGTTCACCACCTCGATGAAACGCTTGTGACACCGAGTTTTGTGGGCAACCGTTCAATCGACCGCGGAGAAACAGGCTGTGGGTCAAAACCAATGGTACCATTTTGGGGTAGGTGAATTCACCACCCATTTTGGAACCTATTTTACTGGGGATTGGGATGTTCACTGGGGGCTAACCGGGCTTTTGACCCATGGCCAAAAAGGACCGACGGCCCCTTTCTCGGCTTTCCGGGCAGCTGGAGTTCAGACGGACGAGCTTCTGAGAAGAGAAGAAGCGTGCAAGGTCGCGAGAGCTTCACCGGCTTGGCTCGCGCGCAACGGCACGCGTTACGCACTCGACTTGAGCCAAACCCTGGGCCGCGAGCCGGGAGCTTCCCGGTCTTCTTCACCTGCGCTCTCAATGAGACACTCGCCAAAACACCGCTGCAGGGCACAAGCAGATTCGCTGGGCTGCAGATGTCTTAAAGATTGGTCGGCTGGACAAGCATTTACACGTTTGGAGGACCTCTCTCTTTGGGCTGCATGACAAAGCAGCTTACGCCCTAACATGTTGGGTCCGAACAATCTCGCCTCCTGCAAAAGATCCACTGGAGCTCCAATCTCCTGAAACTGCGGCAGAGTGCAAGATGCATGGGACGTATCCATTGAAACCAAAATGAATCGGCAAAGCAGCCTTGCCACCAATCTGATAGTTTTTGTATTACACCCTGGGAATACACCCTTGGGAAATGACCCATAATGATGCAAAATACAAAGGCTTTACCCCGAAACGTGCCTAAATGGGGTCAATACCCAGTAGGCGTATTTGTAGGGTAAGCAACACAAAAACCCTTTCGCCACTGACCCAAGCTGGTCCTTGGCGAGGGTGAACAGCTCGTCCTCATCCATCATCTGCACCATGCGCATCTCCTGTCCGAAAAACCCCTAGGCTCACGGCATCCAAAGGGAGCAATGGCGATGGGGACATATGCTGCGGATTCGACATCTCAAAATTTGGCGCGGAGTCTAAAAATGGGGGGTTGACCGAAAGGTCCTTGACGTGGTATGATGGACCAAAAAATGATGTCTCCCACTCAATGGGAAAAGCTACCCATTTGGTGGCCAGGAATAGTGATCAGCCCCCATTCGTCTGCCCTCAAATCGCTCAAATGAGGCCATGATCATAGCTGCTTCGATGGCCTTCGCGATCTTCCATCAGTTGGCCGTTCGGCCCCAAAACGACCAGGGGTAGCTTTTCCCATTTAGTGGTGAAATAATAATAATAATAGTTATATATATGGTCAAGGGTTCGCAAGTCCCCCCCCCTCCCCCCCCCCCCACTCATGGTTCCCAGTCCCCCCCCCCCTTGTGGTGTGGTTGGGGTGTGGTTCAGGGTTGGTTTATGGTTGGTCTAAGACCACTCCCCCCCGCCCTCCCGGTGGGGGGGTGGTGGTTTAGACGTGGTTTAGGGTTGATCTCGTTGTACTGGTTTGGGATGGTTTAGGGTTGGTTTAGAGTGTGTCTAGTGTTGGTTTAAAATATGTGTTTCGGGCTGGTTTAAGGTTGGTTCAAGGTTGGTTTAGAGTGTATTTAGTGTTGGTTTAGGAGTGTGTCTGTGTGTTTTTATCCTTGGTGCAGGGGTGGTTTAGGTTAATTTCGGGGTGGTTTAGAGTGCGTGTGTGTGTGTGTGTAGTGTTGGTTTAAGATATGTGCTTAGGGGTTGGTTTCATCTAAGGTTGGTGTACGGTTGGTTCAGGATTGATTAAGTTGGTTCCGGCTTGGTTTAGAGTGTGTCAGAACGTGTCAAGTGTTGGTTTAAAGATGTTAGTTTGGGCGCAGGGTGTGCCGAGGTGTGGGTTCAGGGGGTGAAGGGGCCAGGGTCTGGGGACCGCAGCAGCAGGGCTTCTCCTCCCGGTACCATATATAATATATCTTTGTGTTGGTGGGTTCCCCAATGGTCATCCCATGCAAAGGACCTTTTGCTCAAGCCCCCTGTGTCTGTGTTTCAAGAGCCTTTTCCAGCTGCAACGGTGGCACAAAGTGAAACAAGGGGGCCTCCGTTTGACAATCCACCCCCTCAGACGTGATCATGTTCCATTTGCCCTGACCATGGGAGACCTCAGAAGAATCATCACACCAACGTGGAAGCCTGCAGTGTTATCAACCAGGGGCTAACAAGAATCAATGTTTCAATCACCTGCTGAGATGAACATGAGTGCTCAGGTATGACGGCTCCAGGCATCACCCCCTCACACAACTCCATTACATGAAGTTGGTGGACAGCCCCGCAAATGGAATCCTTAACATTCCAGGGGTACCTTCCCCATTCTTTCCAGGAATCCTTCTTTTCAGGAAACCATGAAGAACCCACAAAAAACGGCTGGTTTTCGCAAAGAACGATGGTTGAAAAGAATGGACAAGGAATCCACCCGTAGAAACATGGCTCTTCCGACAAATGCAGGGGTTGCTGCTGCCTGGAGTAAAATATGTTCTTTGCTGCCATGCAACACGACAAATCCCCAGGGCAGATTGCCCCAAGGTAAAGATGAAAGGATCCAAGGCCCATCGCACCACTGGCGAAAAAAATCCTCCTCGCCCAGAGCCAGGCTCACAGAGCCAAGCTTGTGAACCAAAAGCCCCAGAGAAGGAGACTCAGCAAGCCTAGTCCATTCAACACAGGCATTCCCTGCAGGGTACGCAAAGCTCTGCCCAAAGGACCTGGAGGTAAAAGGTTGTAAAGCGTGGGCCTTCTCTTAAACCAGGGGTTCTCCTTTTGGAATGAAGTCTAGCCTGGGTTTCAGTCTACCCTAGTCAAAACGTGGAACCCTGATTCAAAATCTACCCTGCGTTTGAGTCTACCCTGGTCAAAAAAATGGAACCCGGAAACCCTCGCGGCTCCTTGTGGAGGGTGCGGATGTGCCTCACAGCCTCCACCACATCGCCGGTGCCTGCCTCGCCCTTCGTGCGGATCATGCTCGCGCCTCGGCGCGCAGGTCCGCCCGGTCCCCCCCCCCGTTCCAAGGGGCATTCCTGTTGGTTTTTCTCGTTGAACCAACCCAAAAACAAAATGGACTTCTCTTTGAACAATGTGGTCTGTCTCTTTCTCTTCAAAGAGAAGTCTTTGAACCAACTCACATTTGGACTTCTCTTTGAAGATAAGCTGGGCTGTGCGGGCCGAAAATTTCGCTGGGCAAGCACTGGGAGCTGGAGGCAGCCAGGATGTTCATTTTTAGACGGGGAGCACCATTGGGAGCTATCCAGTCCATCCCTGGTCCTGCTAGATGCCGCTGCCCCAAGAAAACCTACACACAGATCCGCGACCGAATCTTGCTATGCCCGCTCGGTGAAGCCCAGCGGAAGAGGGAGTGTCTGTTTTGAAACTATCCTTTTAGGTTGGTTTAGAGGAAAACTTGGAAAAACCGTGTGGGAAATCACCCAAAGAAGCCCTCTGGGTGTGCGCACCCTCCGCAATGCGGCGGAGAGCCTCGCCCAAGTTGCGGCAACCGCACCTAAGCTTCCAGCTGAGTGGTCCTTTTGGCGCGAAGCGACCAACGAGTTTTACCCCGATTTCGGGTCGCCAATGTTGAAGGTCACACCAATCTGAAAGTCGAAATCAACCCCAAACGACGCCAACGTCGAAAGAATAACCTGAGAGGTCGCGAGAAGGGCAGACAGTGACTGAGATGCCCACACGAAGGGGACCTTGAACCTCGGCCGCGAGTGACATCGCACTCTGACAAAGCAAGTGCTTCAACCGTCATGTTCTCTGGCGACGTTGGGCGCAAGGCTTGCCCTTGTTGACGTGGTTGCCCTGAGCGGTCAAGTGTGTGGCTGCCAAAAGCTCGCGAACATGAGTGAGTTCCTCGGTTTGGTTGATACTTCAGAGACAGCCAACTCGCATGTGGAACGCACAAAAACTTGCCCAGCCTCATCGGCAACGGTCAAAACCTCGCTCTCGTCAATGCAGTCCACGCCAACCTGCTGCAAGACCTTGGAGCGCCAATGCTAGAATTATGTGGCCATGGGTCAAAAGCCCGGTTCGCCCCCAGTGAACATCCCAATCCCCAGTAAAATAGGTTCTAAAATGGGTGGTGAATTCACCTAACCCAAAATGGTACCATTGGTTTTGACCCACAGCCACGTTGTCAACTGTCAACAAATCCATCCCATGGAAGGGACCTTCATGGAGCTCGCGACAAACCCCCGCTCAGCTCGCAAACACAAGCAACAAGTGCTCTGCGCAGTGTTCGCACGGCAACACTCCCTGACATTCTCGACGTGACCGGGCCTGAGCCTCAACAAAGTGCCCGATGCGGCACTTTGCCATGACCTTGCCAGCAACAAGGGGTTGTTTGTGTGTGTGTGTCTTTTGAGGATACCATTTGCTGGGTGCTTAAAAGGGAAACCGAACGGAAAACACAATAATTTTTGGGGTCCTCACTTTTGACACGCAAACACACACGTCGCATGTCTGGAGATGGAGCAGTGAAACATATACACCTGCCCAGATATTGGGGGCTGGTGGAGACCCAAACATAGACCAAGCTGTTCACAGGGATACATCATCTCGCCGAGGCGTGTGACACTCTGAGAGCCGCACAGGGATGGACACAGAGTTCACGATGTCCTGGAAGCTAGCTCAGCGCATCTTGTACATTTCGACCGGTCAGCCAAGGAGCCTTGTTCCCAAAGTATCTTTCATGCCTGTCATCATGACACCGCTCGAAAGCCCCAGACAACACATTAAGCTACCCCCTTTCCCTGGGCATTCATCAACACCGCGCGGCGCGGCAAATAGCTCAGATCTGCAATCACAAGGGCCGTGCGGCAGCCCACAAGGCTCCGTCCTTGATCATCTTGGGATCCGACATTCGTGCCACCCCCTGCACATTGGCTTGGCAAAGGTCATGGGCCGCTGATTCTTGAAACACCTCTTGCCAGCAAATCCCTGAAATGCTGGACTAAACTATCTCTCAGTTCTGATTGCTCTGCAAGAAGCAGGACAGCCGCAGACTTGTGGCGTGTCTATCACTTCGACGGGAAAAAGGAGGGCGATGAAGGCAGCACAAAGCTTCCCTCCCAACGCCTTGTATGTCACCAAAGAAACGTGAACTCTGTGTAATAGGCCGCCAGAAACATGCACAGAACCCAAAAACAAAACTGAAAAAACAGTCCAAACAAAAACAAGAAATGGGTATGGGTCAAAAATAAGCCACCAGGTGACCGCAGGTGTTAGTCTATGTTACCACCCAGGGTTCAATTTTGGGGTTATATTTTTGACCTACCGCCAAGTTGAAAACCTGAAAGAACAGCGCAGGCATCCGGATCCGTTCCTTTGGGACCAGAACCTGCGGTTCTAACGAAAAGCCGTCCGGCGAAAGGCCTTGCTCTGGCGGATATCGGCAGGGATACCTCGGAATGCACGTCTCAGGCTGTGGCAAAGCCACCGGTGTGAAGGCAGCCGTGTGGTCGGTCCCTTTTTTTTGGAAGCTTTATGGGAACGCCCATTTTAAGGAACAGGACGCCCCAAAACTGCTTCACCTAGCAAATGGGTTCACCTATCCTGATCACACCTCTCATTAAAAAAAAAAAACGGGCGCTTGAACCTGAACTCCACCGGGTCCCGTCGGCTCCGAAGTCGCCGGGCGCGAAAAAAGGTGGCCGTGGAAATCGGAGCCGTTTTTGGGAGTTCCCATGTTGGGATATGGCGGGCGTGGCCGTGGTGATTGTTCATATGGCTGTGGCGGTCAAAACCGTTTCTGGGATTTCCCGTTTCGGCTTCTAGGTGAATTCACCAGCCAGTTTTTGGGCTTCCGATTTCTGGTGGTTGGGTTGGGATTCTCGCTGGGGGTACGATTTGGATTTTGAACAGCCCATGGGCAAATCTTCAGGCCTCCGAACTGGCGGCGCAGACTTGCCACAATTGGCATATGGCTAGGGACTTTGATTCGGAGCACATCCTCAAAGGTGTGTGGATACAAATCCACACCTTTCGCATGCACCGAAGGGTCCGTTCCCAACAGAACATGTTCATATTCAAAGCAGTTTCCAAAAAACACAACAACAAAAGACCGTTTTGGAGGGCAAACAACAAAGAAACAAGCTTGCGGCGGAGGAAAAACCCACAAAACCGCATTTTGATGTCTCGGCCTTAAACCTCCGGGGTTTCTGTCTCGTTGCGTCTGAAGGGGCCTATCCCTCTCGGCTTGGCACGCCCAACGCTTTTATTTGGCTGTGGGTTAAAAATCGGGTAACCCATGATGGCTTGCCCTGGCAAGTGGCATGGACCAAAACCTGCGGTCCATATCCTGGTGGTTTCGTTGGACCCACACCCATTTGGCGGTTTTTCAAAAGTTGTACCACAAAAATTGGGGGGAAGAAAAACCAAAACCTGCATAACCCCACCCCAAACCACCAACCCCCACCCCCACCACCCACCCACCCCCTCACCCCACCCTAACCCCCACCCCACCCCTGCTAGCCAGCGTCCCCGCACACCACCCCCACCAGCCCCCACCCCACCCCACCCCACCCCACCCACCCCCCACCCCCCCACGCCCCACCCCACCCCGCCCACCCCCCACCCGTTTGACGGGTCTACGCTTTCTGGAGCTCCGGGCGCTCCAGCGCCATCACCGCGCAGGCGCCTGCCTCCTCCGCGATCTTGGCCTGCTCGGGGTTCATCACGTCCATGATGACCTGTGGGGGGGGGGGGGGGAAAAAAGGCGGCGCCATGGCGCCCCCCTTTGGGGCGGAGGGCCGGCTGTTTTTTTCCCGAGCCTCAAATGGCGCAGATGCTGGTCTATTCTTCGGTTTGGCCGGGGTGTTGTGGGTGTCTTGTGTCCTAGGGCGCAACAAAATGTATCACATGCATACCCACTTAGTACTCATTCGAGCCATCTTCACAGCTATTCAAGTGGGAAATGTCAATTTGTCATGAATAAGAATGGGGTCCTGCGGGCTTGAAAGCCAAAACGCTTCACAGCTTGACCATTCGAACATTCGAAGGAACTCCAACATGGCTCACCATCCCAAGTGTTGGGTCGGCAGCTCCCAGAAGGCCTCCGCAAATGGAACCAAAGTCTAACAGGGTCCTGCGAGCTTCCATGTGGCCGTGGGTCAAGATTCCGGTTCGCCCCCCAGTGAGCATCCGATTCAATCCAACCACTAAAATAGGAAACCTAAAATGGGTGGTGAATTCACCCAGAAACCAAAATGGGAAATCCCAAAACGGTTTTGACAACAACCACTGGGCGAGGGTTTCAGCAATCGCAACTTCCTGGGGCCGGCGACGCCTCCCTTCAGCATGGCCGCCAGGCCCTTCTTCACCTCGGATGGGATGGGCTGGAGACCAGCGAACTTCACTCTGGGCATGGGGCCAAATGAAACCAGGATATGGACCGCAGGTTCCATCGTCCTTGGCTCCATTTCCCAGGCTTCCATTTTGGGCACCTATTGACCCACAGCCATCTGCATTCTGGAAGTAAGCAAAAGGACCCATGACAAGATTTAGGGTACAATGCCCACGCCGTTTTTGACTTCCAGGAGACACCTGGGACCTAACAGCTCAGGGTGGCTCCAGGATGAATGGATACAGCAATGAAAAGTGGTTAAGTGGTGTGAAGAACTTGTGTCTTTTCCCTGTCATCTCTTGGTTGTCTTAGGATATACACTCACCAATGAATGAAAATCATCCAGGGAGTTGGTGAGAGACCTGCCTGCTGATCGGTCTTTTCTATCCTAGTTCTGCTGAATGCACAAGGTTGATATGACGAGACAAACCTATCAGCCAGGAAAATGGAAAGTTCTATAATTCGACAAAAAAGATTTTGATCTTCATGATATTCCAGCTACGCATGAATACGATTAATTTCTGTCCGGGTTTACGTGATACCCAGTCTGTTCATGGAAGAGCGATAGCTCTCACATAAGAAGAATTCTAGGAGATAAAATTCAGATGATTCACTCTCATTCTCCTCCTTGGCATTTGGGAGGCAGTGTTTGCCAGGGACAAATAAAACACCATGATCATATCCTGCTTTGTGCGCATCTGGCATCATCATCATCATCATCATCATCATCATCATCATCATCATCATCATCATCATCATCATCATCATCATCATCATCATCATCATCATCATCATCATCATCATCACCATCATCGTGATTTCTGCCACGGCCAATTGATACTTTCCTCGGGTGATTCTTGCACCGTAGACGGTCCCTGCAAAAACCTCCCCGCCACCTGGGCTTCTGGCTCGCGACGTGCCCTCTGCGACGGCCATGATGAGCAGGCCTGCCCGAGGAAAACGGCCCCTCCGGCACCCCTGGAAACAACTTCTGGGAACCTGGACAACCCTTCTCTGTGGTACGTCACCCCCCTCCACAGTGATGCCACGTTGTCACTTCAAAGATTGGAATTCCAGATGGGCCATAACTTCATGTCGTAGAAACATGGCTGCAAACAAAACGACCTAAGGCCCAAAGGGTTGAGTTTGGGAATGTCTCAAAGGTCGAGACCTCTCTGGCCCTTTATTTTCCATTTAATCGAATCCATCCAAAGAAAGGGCTCCCTCAAAAAAGACAAACCCACTTTGCCAGGCGGCTGTTGGATGGGGCGAGCGTCAAGGATCGCGAGAGATGCGCCACGTCTCCGAGTTGAGCCACGGGAGCACAGGGAAGACGTGTGGCGCGTTTTCGGCGACCGCCTTGTCACTCGGGCTTGGGTCAAAATTAAGCCGGTAGGGGATTCCAAGTTTTAGTCCTTTCCATTGCACCTAGGATGAGCCGGAGCTTTTTGATGGCCGCTTTTAGGACTGTATGATCTAGTCTGTTGACCGCTGGGCATATCCTCCAACAAACAGATGTCTCGTGTTCCACAAATTAAGTCTTTCAGCTGTCTGGCGCTTTCATGTTTGTTAGGATGCTTGCAGCGCCGAACCGCTTCCGAAGGACGTTGTGAGTGCGCAGTGGTATCAGATATCCACGTTTGGCGGTTTCAAGTAGGTGTGGGTCCAGAGAAAAGGTACCCAAAATCGTGCAAGCCTGGTAAACTCACTTGCCCAAAGCACCTGGAAATGAAAGGTGATCACTTTCTGAGACCTCTACTAAAAATGGGAACCCAGAAGGGGGAAACCAAAAGGTCATGTCGGGCTGGTTCGCTTTGAACAACTGAGTAAAAAACCGCCTCTGCCGGCGATGCGTCTTTCTCCCAACGCCACCGGCCAGCTGAGAGAAAGAGCATGCATGCGATCGCTGGGTGAAACCGGAATAGGGCCATGCACAGCTTGCGTTGTCTTTCTTTGGACAAGTCCTGAAACCGTGCCAAGTCAGCGTCTTCCTTTGAGGGGACGCTGATTTAGGCGATGTCAAAGGAAAACCAGGTGGCAAGCCACCACTTTCGAAGATTTCCTTTTTTGTGAGACACACCCCAAGTGAGCCCTGCATCTTGACCTTGCGCCAACACTTTATGAACCACGGCACGGTTTCCAGAACCACGGCGTTGCAGCTCACTTTGGAGGGAACACCTTCAGCGCACCCTCGAACACAATGGCCCGGCGACCTCGCGTGCGACAGCGCCGCAAGCCATCCCCTTCCCAACCAAAAGGATCTCCGGCCCCCAGTCCCAAAAGAACAGGAGATCCTGGCTGCTTCAACTTGTTCCCAAGAAAAACTGCTCCCAAGTGGGCAAACGAGTCCAGGGCGTGGTGGGGTGCCATTTGCGCGACAAATCCCCCCTCTCTGCTGAGATGCCAAAAGCTTGTCATCTGTAACTGTGGCAAGTCATGGCGAACATCAAACATACAGCTACCCTGGTTCACAGGCTCTGTCACCCAGTCCGAAAGGCCGAAGTTGTGTCTTTCCCCAGCAGTCTCTGTTGAGTCGGAGGATGTGACAAGAATGCAGCAGCCCGGATTCATGAACCTGCGGTATTGGGGAGGCGTTCCACCAAAAAGTAAAGGATGCCCTCTGAATTGGGTCTCAGTACATGTTGGAACAGAAGGCCGCCGTGTCTGCCCACCTCTTGCATGCCCCCACCAAGCGCTGAGCATATGCCGCAAACCTTGGACGGGTCCTGGCGAGGATCCGATTCGGTGTCAAGTACAATATCGGGGGACTCATGACCATCGGATACAAACGTTTTCAGAGTCAGGCAGTGGGCCCCTTAGTCTAAAGTCTAAAGCATCCCGATGCGGACCATTATCAGTTGTCCAACAGGAATTACTCGGCAGAAACCAAAACAAAAAGAAGCTCTCAGGCTTTGCAGGATCTGCGGGTCAAAAGCCCGTACCCCCGATGAACATCCCAATCCCTACTAAAATAGGTTCTAAACTGAGTGGTGAATTCACCTACCAACCAAAATGGGATCCCATTGGTTTTGACAACCACAGCCTTGCAGGATCTGCGGGCTGTCTGTTTCTTGCGGTTCCTGAGATCCGCCAGTGGCACCTGTCAACCAAGATTAAGGACGCAGCACCGTCCGGCAGGATTCAGGTTTCACTGTCAGCTCCGGCCGAGACTCAACGGCTTCCAACCGAGCCTGTTAAACGTCACTAGCACTTCTTCCCAAGCTGAAGAAAGTCAAGGATCTCAAGCGTTGCTCGGACCCAGAAAAGCAAGAAAGATCATGTTCACGTGAAAAGCAAAGGGGACACCTCCCCAAAAAAAAGCCTACAAACAGATATAATCTGAGGTCTCGAAAGGGCGCGTACCGACCTGCACTGGTCCCCTGATCCCGTTTTCCCGAACCCGGCATCCTTTGGGGAAAGTGGACTGGCAGACCAAAAACCAACTATCATCCACGTTCACCTTAAACCAAACTGAAACCAAACTGGGCGGTTAGAATTAAACCACCAGGGCACCGCAGGTTTTGGTCCATGTTTCCCCTTTCCTAGGGTCCATTTTGGGTACTTATTTTTGACCCACGGCCAAAATGATAGGCACTGGCATGTTCCTCAGCCAAACCGCATGGCGGGCCCTCCTGGATGGCACCGGCCAGCGGGTTCAGCGTGGGCAGATGCGGACCCAGCGAGTCGGCCACCTGACAAAAAGCGGGGGCAAAGCGCGGCTGCGAACGGCAAATGGCAGGGGTCGGCTTGTTTTCATGTTGGTTTTAAGACCTGGCAAACGGCGCGGCTGCAAAAACCGGCAAATGGCGGGCCGTCGGCGGTTTTTTCTTGACCCTGTTGTGTGGGGAGCCAGAAAAGGCGAACCAGCAACGGAAAAGAGAACGATGAGGGCGGGGGACGAAGGGCCCGAAGACAAAATGAAGAAGAACCATACTGCCATCTGCTCAATCCTCGCTGTGGAAGGCTTGGCTTCCATAACACGTCAGTGACAAAAAGTGCAGACAAACCTATAGCATCATGCATGCACAAAGCGCACAAGGCAGCAGTCCAGGGCAAAAGACGCCGCCAGTTTTTGGATTCGCTGGACCGGTGGAGCGGTCAAAATACCTTTCACCGGGACAGATGAGGCAACAAAACAGGAAATGTTCGAAGGAAGTCCGCATCGCACCGATGAGACAGGCTGGAAGATAGGTGCAGTTGGGTAGCCAGAGCGACACAGTCGGAGCCAAGATGCCGGAAAGAAAAGCAACAAAGACAAAAATAGCATACAGGTTCTGACAGACGGAAACCAGTCTAGCGGAAAGGCTGGTTGTGCTGCTGCCAAAGCTGCTGGATTTGCTTGCTAAACTGGTTTTGGAAGTGGCAAGCATAGCGGAAATTGCAACCCAAGGCTGCAGAGAAGCATCAACAAGCAAAAACTATTTGATCCATTGGCGCGTTTGTTCTCCCAACAAATGCTTGCCTGACTGCATAACCCATCATCTTTGAATTCCAAACAAAACATGCATCAAACTTGCACAACAAAAAAGTCCCCCCCATCTTTCGTCGACGCCGCGCTTCACAGAGCGCCCCGGTGGCAGCTCTGCGAGCCTCGACCTCCTTGAGCAGCATATCCCGCTGGCGCTGGACATCCTCCACCTGCCAACGCGAAAGCTTCGCTCAACGGAGGCTCGGCCACGGACGAGATCGCGCGACTTCCCAAAGAACGACAGCCAAATGTCCCATGCCCATTTTGGTGGCTGCGAGTTTCCCTTTGGTCTTCCTTTAAAACCAACCAAAAAGGGGTACCCTCAAAAAGACGCACCCATATTTTCACAGCACCATTGGCGCCATGTTCGCTCAGAGTTTTCTTGGTTCAGCCCCGCCTGGCGCTTGAAGTCGGCATGGGCTTTGGCGAGTTCCCCCGTCCTGAAATCCTCCAGGTCCTGGAGGATTTGGCGCGGCGTCATGGGATCCCCAAGCGGAAAAAAAATACAACTTGTAGATACAGTTTCAACGGGCATCGTTGATACTGCTGCTGTTCTTAGATGCATACATATATATATATATATATATGTATGTATATATGTGTGTGTGTATGCATGCAGCATGATACTACGCGATAGCAATCCAACAGATTGAATCCAGTAGACTAAAAGGCAATACCAGTCCCCGAGAACTGCTTGGGTGCCCAAGCACACCTCGAATTCCGGCGGGGTTGGGGACGGACCCAGGTTCGACAAAAACGATGCGCATGAGCAAGGCAGCTGTTACCCCGTCAGACAAGGTTTCTCTTGGAGAAGCACCTGACGTGAAGCTCTTTGAACCTTTTTGGCATCGGAGGGAAACAAACCATGACGAGGAAAGCAACACATCAGAACCAGGCGCCACCTCTTCTACTCAGGCTGAGCCACCGCACGGGCAATCGGCATCCGGCCTGGGCAGCCTTCTTTTTGATGGCTTGCACCGTGTAGAAGCACTCTTTCTTTACCTTAGCTGTGGTGATCGTTCGACTTTCGTGTCAGCAACGAAGATCAGAATCCTTCTTCTTGGCGAATCCAAACACTTTTTTACAAGTCGCTGCGTCCGTGGCTTTGGTGCTCTTCTGGTGCACCCAAACTACCACCCGTCCCGCGCAAAAGCACCCGCCAAGGGCACCCCAGCCGAAACTGGCATCTGCAAACGGCCGGGTTCTGGCAGCTCACAGATGGCTACAGCGCGTTGGAGCGTCAAGGTCTGGTCCGCCATACTTGTCAAGGCCGACAGACACTGCCACACTTGTCTTCGCAGCTGCGGTCACAGCCATAGGCGTCCTTTTATGGGAAATCCGCCGATGCTGGTCGAGCGTGTAGATGGCAGTCCGCAACTTGGTCTTCCTTCGGAATCTCTTATCAAAGCCGAAGGCTTTTGGGGCTGCCATTTTTTGGGCATGGTGTGCTGGGTGTCCAAAACCCTGTATTGTTTCCAGCGTTTTTGGGGCTGCGTGCTAAAAATATGCGTTTCGCCTAGGTCTCTAGGGGGGGGGTTCCCTCGGACGCGCAGGATCTGCATCCCCGGCATCATCAGGATTATATATCTTGCTGCCATGAACTTGTCTCTTTTGTTTTGCAGATACAAATGGTGTTTTGCTGTTGCAAGCGATGTTGGAATTGGCCTGTTGGGGGTCTGGGCGGAGTGTTTTTTGCAATTCCCCACCTGTACAGAGCAGTTACTGCGAAACATCCCCTGCATTATCGTGCTTTTGGAAGTCAATTTTTAGGGTATTTGAGGGGGGTTGCTAATATCTGCTTTTGATGGTTGATTTTGGGGAATATCAAAAATCCCTGGTTTTTTGGCACTTTTTTGTGGCCAGCCGGCTGCATTCTCAGCATTCCCGACATCTCTGGTATTTTTCTGTGTTTGGTCAATTTTGCGTGTCTGAAAGTCGTGAAATGTTGGATGCGAAGATTGATCCCTTGCATGTCCAGCATCCCCAGCATCACTTCCATGTAAAAAATGAAAAAGGTCTTACAATCCCTTGCACCCCACTGTCGGTGGATCGCGTAGCTATTTCAATAGATGGATATCCCTGGTAGATGATTCCACCAGGTAAACTAGGAATCGCCCTTTTTCTACCAAAGCAACCAAACAGGACACCTATGGTCACAGCGGTCATGGCAGAAGAGGGCAAGACCGATAGGTGGTCATGGCAGATGTAGCCGGGCGCCCGCGCCCTCACCAGCTCCGTGTCCAGAGCCCGCGCAAAAGCCAGGAGCTCCTGGCTTCGACGACTCCCCCTCCCCTTGTGCTTTAAGCGGAGCTCTCGCCTAGTAGTTGATCCAATGGGTCAAAAGCCCGGCGGCCAGCCCCCAGTGAACATCTCAATCCCCACTAAAATAGACTAAAATGGGTGGTGCACCTACCCCAGAATGGTAATTACCATTGGTTTTGACCCACAGCCAAATGTTGATCCCATCTCCCTCGTTATTCCCTGCCAAGAATCAGCAAGCCCCCCTTGCCAGGGTATCACGCCACTGATTTCCTTCAATGCTTTGGGTGGCCCAGAGAAATCAAACAGTGGATAAGAAGGAGGTCAGTTGCCCAAGAAGGGTTCTTCCTATGGCTGCTTACCTACAAGCTGGTTCTGCGTCTAAACCAGTTAGACCCTTCCAAATGCGTCCAGCCAAGAATTAGCTTTCGATTATCCAAGCAAATGTGCCCAGAAAACAGCTTCGATATCGGGCCAAATCTGTTGCCACGCGCACCACAGGACTATTTTTTGGCAACATCCCGTTTGTTAGACGGCACTGTACCGTTGCGGTCCGTTGTCAAAGGGATGATGTGCAGTACGTGGTCGACTTTTGGTCAGTGGAGGTCGACTTTTGGTCAGTGGATGTTAGGTGGATGTTTGGGTGGGTTTGACTGGCAACATTTAGAAAGTCGACCGTGGCCGCTGTGATGCGCCAGATGTTGCACACACATCACCGCAAATCGGGATGGAAGGACGGATTCACTGGATACTGGAAGCATTGGCTTTCACTCTACACATCCCATGGGCAGACCATGGGAGTTGAAACGAACCATGCGTTCGGCAGCACGATGTGCGCTTTTGCCGAGAACTTTCTCCATGCCCTCGGCAGGATTTCATCAACCCAAACTTCCGGATCAGGACACCTCAATTTTTGCCCACCAAAAACGGGGGTCCCGGGTGCCCAAAGGATGAGATCATCCTTCGTTGCAGCCGAGTGATATGTGGGTGTGGGTCAAAAAGCAGTGTAACCCCAAACTAATATCAAAAAACCAAGAAACCTCAAAATGGAATTTCGGCAAATGGAAAAAGACAAAAACCCTGCTGTCCTGGTTTGACTTGTCACCCAAACCTGTGTGTTCCTTCTCTTGAGAGCGTCCCAAGCGGATCCCCGGTCCGATTCCTGCTTTTCACCCATGCCCAGGTCTTCGCTCTGATCCAGGGCGCCGGGCGTCTCTCTCGCGCTCCAGGTGCCGGCGCACGCACCGCTCCGCCGGCAGGATCCCTGCGACCGCTTGGGCGCTCGGAGTGGCGGAAATCGGATTTTAAAAAAAATATGGCTGTGAATCAAAATAGGGCAACCCCAAAATGGAACCATGGCAAATGGAAACATGGACTCAAATCTGCAGTCCCCTGGTGTTGTAATTTTGACCCATGTCAAAAAATGAGGCAAGTCTGTATGCCATCAGGGAACATGGGCTTCTCAAAGGTTGTGTGAAGGTGCCTCGACACATCATAGTGAAGCGCCTCAATCTGGAGCGATACCCTACTGCAATGCCCAACGGCAACAAACTAACCTCGAGAAGTGATGCATAAGTGCATTGAAAAAGAGTATTGGAGGTTGTTCAAAATACAAGCTCCTGGAAACGGCCCTTTCGCCGGCCTTTCGCGGTCCTTTCGCGGCCCCGTGTTTTCCTTTCGCGGTGACAAACCAGTCCTGAAAAACTTGATTCCGAGCCCAAACGAGGGTTCTACCATGTATTCGTTATGTTTCAAGTCCTTTCGCGTTCCTTTCGCCGGCCTTTCGCGATGCAGTGTTTTCCTTTCGCGCTAGACCTTCAGAACCTCCCTTACTTAATTTTAAGACTGGCAATTTAGAACGACTCCCTATTATAGTGGTGCTGTCCCTTGAATGTCCAAGGTTCTGATCTATTCAATCGGAGGACCCGCAGTTTGTAGCCGGCTTATCAGATTTCACTCTCTATTTGGATCAGCTACGAACGGTATCTGGGACATGCACCATGTGAAAGGCCTCGAACTCGTTTCGGCAAAAACCACCGCGCGGCTGAACGAGAAAAAACATCGCCGCCCGCCTATTTTGGAGGCAGGCTCCAGGCCTCGGAAGGAAAGGCCCCCAAAAATCTGAAGTTGCCAGCTGTTGATTCTTCCTTTATTTCATTGTCGAATGTTCATGTTGCGTTCTATCTTCTTCTGTTTACATGTTCTTAGGTCTGTATTTCTATTGTAACCAATTTTCTAGCAGAGTATGTTTGGCATATTATTGTTTCTTGATTGCTCAATTTGTATTATGTATTACTTCCTTCAATTCATATATTTTATAATCTACAACTTTGTTCTTGGCAATCGAACGAAATCTTATGATAGTTTTCACCTTTCCTGGATTTTTTTTTTTTTTTTTTTTTTTTTATATTTGGTATTTGAATAACTTGAAATCTATTCTATGATGCTTCTCTAGCTCGTTGTCTTTATTGTTTGGCAAAAGGCTTCGCTGTGTGAATGCCTGCGGCGAGTCCCCCACGCAAGGAATCTGGAACTCTGGACCACCGGAAAATGAATTTTGAGAGGCGCCAAGCACAAGTGTCAGGGGCATATATTGTCCTTGTACCTTACAACATCATGCAAGGCAAGAGCGCGGGCTCCTTCCCGCTGCAGTTGATGCACTTCAGCAAGCTGTGACATATCTCCAAGATTGGAGTGTGAATCAGTCATCCTCAGTGCAACAGCTGTATAAGTGATTGTTGCAGTCTAAGGTTGTTCAAAGACATGAGTGTCGGGTTGATACTGCATAGTATGTCAGAGCAGTTTATTCTCCTCTGAGGTTCATTGACGTTTCATGCTCGTTTCGCATTGCATTGCCATGTCTGCAAAATTCTGCATTTGTCAGCAGAAACTTATTGTTTTTTTGAAAATACTGTAACATCGTGAGTGGCACCAATGCGATTAGCTGCTGGCAACTCTGCCAGCAGCCTTGTCACACAGACTGAGACAATCATAAAGAATTTGAGTTTCATGCAATCATCACTTACATCATATTTGAAGCAGGATCAAGCTACCCCTTCAGACACACTTCTGCAGCAATATGTCATCAAGCCTGCAAGGCAATTTCCTCTGCAGCAGAAGTATGAAGGCATCCTCAGAGGTAAGCGACCGCCCTTCGCACCATTCTCATACAACAGCTGGTGTTAAACAGAACATGATGTAGAAAACAAGAACAAATGAAAACAAGAACAACCAAACAATTTGACTCGGCCCAACAAATGTTTGCATGGGGAATTGAGCCTGCCCGACCACTTGGGCAATGTGCCTGTTAAAAAAAGCTGCGTCACCATTCTCACAATAATACTTGTCCAAAGTAAAGGCGAGATGGGTATTCTTTCCGTCTTTCTTGTCGTTCTGTCTTTTCTGTCCCACAAATAACAAACGCCTGACTGGAAAGCGCGCGCCCATCACCATTTTGTTGAGGCCCAAAGCCCAGCTCCCGTGGGACAGCAGACGAAGGGGCCCGCGAAAAGGGCGCTGCCAGCCGGTCAGCGGCAGCCCACGGGCAAAGCCACTGGGTCCCGCGGGCAAGAGAAAGGCCGAAGGGCAGGTCAAGGGAAAGGCAAAGGACGGGCTAGGCCCCAGCAGCGAACCCATCCGGGCAAAGCTCTGCACGCCGGCGGAGGACGGCGCGAGCGCGGTGGCCGCGCGCAATCACGCTGAGCTCCTGGAGCCAGTCGGGCAGCTGCAGCCCGTGAGATCTGGAGAAGGATGGCAGAAGCTTCTTGAGACCAAGCCTCCGTGGTCGCCCCAACGAAGGGTTGGAACTTCACACCCTGGGCGGCGCAAACGGCCGTGTCCAGGTGGGTCTCCTTGGACCGGGAGTAGGAAGTGGCAGCAGCCAGAGCCACCTGGCCAGCCTGAGCAAGGCTCTCTTGTGGGGGGCCACAACGGCCAGGTCAAGGGCGACAGGCGAACCTCTCAGGCTGGGCAAGGTTCTCCGGGCAACAGATGAGACTGCATGACGGCCACCTGAAATTCACAAGGCCCGCAAAACATTGAAGTCCCGAGGCTCTACTTCAGCCAAACGAAGCACAACCAAAACAATTTGCAGGCGCTAACAATTTTCGAAACCACCAGCTGTTTGCTCTGGCTTAAGATTGTAAGGGCTGTCTCAATAGGCATTGCTTGGGTGCTCAGGCGCCATGGTATCTTGAGAAGGCCTTGATCAATTCCCTTACCACAGACCATGATATAGACACCTCCGCTGGGGGGCCGAGCCTGGCTCTTTCTCCGCATCAGGTTCCTTGGAGCCTTCCAACTCCAGCAAGCCTTGGCCGATGGCCAAGCTCCATATGTGGCCGACATCGGATTTGGTGGATGGACAAACCATTTCCGGATGCCCAACGTTCGTTCAGTGAGTGCCCAACGTCATCCCCTTCGGAGTAGATGATGGTGGATGTTGACCGTCGCTCGTGTCATCTTTGGGAACCAAGTGGAGCTGGAGATGGTTCATCTAATTGAGATTGCTTTTGCTTGGGCCCCGGGAGTTTTGGTGTGAAGAGGCGTATGATTGACAACGCCTTGGTGATGGTCAGGAATGTCCATGACACAAACAAATGGGTTTTGTTTGCTTCCGTTTCCTTCACTTTGTGTTGGCCCCCCGGCCAGCTTAGTAGGTCCTCTTGAATGTCATCATTCACTGTTGGCGGAGAAGCGGGCCTCGTTCCATTCATTGGACCCATGTTCTTTCAACGAACAAGGCAAAACAGAAAGAGGGCGCTTTCCCCGCAAAAAGAAACAGAGCAGGGGGCTGTCAAAGAAACACTTTATTTCTCGACCAGCCCATGTTGTCTCTTGGGAACAAAGCCCAACTCACATCAGCATTGTCTACAGCCCGATGGCACCTGAAACGTTCAGCCAGGGCTCAAAACGAGGGGTGGGGTAATTTTCCGGTGGTTGCCATTGAAACGATCGCCAGCTTTGGAGGTACCCCAAACAGAAGCACGGAAACCTTCAGACCCCAAGTCAAACCCACTGGATTCCCTCAAATCAAAAAGTTGATCCATTTACTCTGACTCCCACTTTTGGAGCCAACCCCAAACAAATAGAAACATGGCACGGACACCCCCTCCAAAAGGGAAGGAAAAAAGACAGCGGCCCAGTCGGCCCGTCCGGCCGCCCTTCCGCTCCGCCGGCCCGGGCCGCCGGGCGCCGCTTCCGCGCCTCCGCCGTGGCCTCCGCCGCCTGCAGCCGGTCCCGCAGCGCGGCCTGGCGCGGCTCCCGCGCGGCTTCCGCGCGGCTTCCGCGCGGTGCGCGTGGTGCGTGGGGAGAGATGCTTGGGCCATTTTTTGTATTTTTTGGGGATGCCTCCAAAAGTGGGAGTAAGAGTGATGTTTTTGTTTATTTGTTGGGAAGAGGGATGTGTGTGGTGGAGCAAGGAAGAAAAAACAACAACCAGATTTAGAGGGATGTGTTGTTCTTCTTTTTCCGAGCCTGGGTTTCGGGAAGCGTTTTTAGGGATTCCCGAAGGGAAACCATGGGATGGATTGTTTATAGGGGTCAGTCCCTCATAGTCCGGGCGTTAGGAATGAACCTGGGGATGGGAATGATTCCCTCAGTCCGAGTCCGGGTGTTGGTTGAATGAACCGGAAGTTGGGGATTCCCGAAGAAAGGAGTTCTTTCTTGGGGGTCCTTCCGTAACACATTTCTTGCTGGTGCGATAGGCAGGGAAGGAGACATGGAACGACCCCAAGAAAAATCCCCGATTTGGTTGGGAACCCCAACTTCAGGCCGTGGCTTCTACCTAAGCCTCACCAGGAAAGGCTTGGAACTTGGACACTGAAGCCTCCAAAACAAAGCTGGAACAGGAATGGAATGGGGAAATACACCAACCTGGTTCAAAAACTAGGCAAAATTCAAAGTCCCGCTTCTGCCAACTAGCGCCTTCCGTTGCGCGGCGTGTTTCTTGAAGGCGGTTGGGGAAGCAGTCTGCGGGGGAAACGTAGTGGAGACCGATTTCAATTTGCAGTGAGCTTCCAACTTCTACTCGGGAAGGGGGTGACCCATAGTCTAGGTCCTCCAGTCGAGAGGTTACAATAAGGGTACCAACGTTTTTTCTGTCTAGTTTAGTAAAGCACCTCTCCCCCAAGAAAGGGTGAGAATGCACTGGGGGACCTAGTGCTCTGAACGCTTTGGGTCGAGAGCTTCTTCCAGGTCCGAAAGCCCCATCCCAATCCAAACACTGAAATAGGTTCTATGGGCGGTGAATTCTACCAACCAAAATGGGATCCCACTGGTTTTGACCACCACAGTCAGATAGTCAGATGGGTGTGGCTCAAAATTAAGCAGGAAGGGCAAACCGCAGGTTTGGGTCCATGTTTCCCCCAGACCAACCCATTTTGGAATTCCGGCTTTTTCACCCACCAAATGATACAGGTCCAACAAACCCATCGGCCTTTGGCACGCGATCCTCGCCTCACGGCCGCTGCTCTCCTGCAGAAGCCGCCGCAGCGCGGGCCGGCCCGGGCCCTCGCCGTCCGGCGGCACCACGTCCTGACGCGGAAAACCTCACCGCCTGGCCGCCTCAGCCCCCAAGCTGGTCAACCTTCGCCTCGCGCGAAAAATGCCCGGCTTCAGGGCCCGAAAGAGCATCGATGAGAAGCTCGTTCCAATATGTATTGGAAAAGAACTGTAGCATGGATCTGTGCCTCTCTGGGCAATGAAAGCCAAGTCCACCTGGATGCAACCATGCTTACAGGTAGTGCTTTTGTGTCTTTCATGTCAACTCCAACCACAGTTCCAGTGGCAACTCCGAGGTCGACCACTGTTGAGTGTGGTAGATATAGCCACGCTGAGGTTGGGATTCCCTGTACCGGGTCCAAAACTGTCCATTGCCCTCAGAGATGCGACTGAGATAGAACACCTTTTAGGAAGCGCTGTTGGATGGGAGGAAGCGCAAAGCATAATACGGGTCTGTGTCAGCGCAGCTTCTGTGGCCCCAAGACAAACGATACACCTCACGGGCTTGGCTTGCCCCGAACAGGCGCAAGGCAAACAAGAACACATATTCTTGCAGGATGAGCGATGTTCAGTCGGCCGGGGGTCAAGCAAAAGTTTGTAAGAATATAAGACATGTCGCATGACTTTTCCCGCGGCTGCCCATGGTACATGACAGCTCAACAACGGACGTTGTGCCTGCACTTGGGCTTACAACCGTTCCGTCTCAAACCAGGCTTGAGTTTGCATGGCCGGTGCAAACCCATTGAGAGCTTCTCTTGCTTTGAGGCCCATCCTCCTACCCTTCCGGCCATCCGGAGGAGAACCTTGGCCCCTTTGAGGGGCCCATCCCTCAAGCAAGGGGAAGCCAGGATTCACAATCCTCAAAGTCTAGTAATAAAAGGGGGTCTCAGTCTAAACCGTCACGTTTTTGGGGGGCATGTTGCCCTGATACTGCACCTGGTCGATGAATCCAGGGTCGACTGCTGGGTCTTTTCTTGGATGCTGTTGACCCCTCGGCAAAAAGTTTAACTTTTGTGGGTCCAATGGAAAACCCACTGATCCCCAAGAAGTTCAAGCCATAAATCCATACTCCGCCCGCGAACCCCCCCCCACCTCAGTACCCCGGGCTTCCGCCCGCAACTGCTGCAGCTCTGACCGCGCCAGCAGCAGCGCCACCTCGCCCTGGCAACGCGGCAGGGAAGCGAAAGGCGACGCGCGGCAGCCGAACAACACCCGTTTTCAGGTCGAGACAGACAGAGAGAGAGAGAGAGGGGTTTACTTGGCATGGAGTAGTGGATTCTGGCTCGTGTTTCCGGAAAAAACGCTTGTAAGGCCCCTTAAAGTGGTAAGCTCCATGCCTCCGGTTAGAAAAGAGCGAAGAAGATGCCCGTTGCCCTTCCCCAATCCCGGCTTCGTAGCGAGCGTCGGCGCACAAAGTGTTCCCTGGCGCACAAGCGTGTTCACTGTGACCACGCAAGAGTGTTCCAAGAGGAGAACAACTTTGGGTGGTCCCTCAAGAACACACACACACACACATGTTGTTGGCATGACCTGCGTAGTGCATCATTGTGTTCTTACAATTTGTTTGGGGTCTATGCTGGAATATGTTACTTTATCTATGTTTTTTGGGGCGGGGGGTGTGGGGGGGGGGGGGGCGGGGGGCCTTCGAAAAAAACGGACACATTGAATTCAGGAACGGCGCCATGCGTCGCGCCTCCCGCAGCTGCGACCCGAGCCTTCGCAGCTCGGCCTTGAGCTTGGCCACCTGGCTGAAGCCGAAGGGGACATGCTGTGGATACACCGCTCTGAAACCATGGCTGAAACCGTGGTTTGGCGTTATTTACCGGGGAAACCACGGTGGAAACCGTGGTTTGGCGTGATTTGCCGGGGAAGGGTTTCTGAGTGCAGGAGTGCGTCCTTCCACAGAGGAAAAACGACTCATTCCAGGGTTTCTGAGGTAGTGCGAAATGGATTTCGCAACCATCCACTTCGGCCAAGGGTGACGGAGTTGGCGCCCGAAGCCCATGACGGAGCGAAGGCAAGGCGCCAAGCAGTGAAAACACGAGTCAAGGCAACCGCGCCGGTGTCACCGGACGTCCCCCAAATCAAAAGTTGATCACACACTGACGGTGGTTCCCATTGAAACGATCGCCACTGTTGCAAGTTCCAAAAAAGGGAAATGGAGGAAACCCTGAAGGAACTACTCCCCAGTTACATAGTCGAAAGTTGCCAGAATTCCCGTTGAAGATGTGGGTAAAGGGATCACTCAATCAAAATAGGGGGATTGTGCTATCTACCTTCACCCAACTGTCAGGTTGATCCATGGTCAAAAGTCCTGTACGCCGTGGTTCCAATAGGATTCCTTATCAAAAGCTTTGAATTCCCTCAGGATGTCCGTGACCATCGTTATGCAAGAGAATCGGAAGCTTGCAAACGTTCATGGCTTGCAGCAGAACATGCACATGTTGTCATCGAACCAAGCTTGCACAAAACAACCCCGTGCTCGCATGTCAATTGTCTGCTTTCACAAATCAGCCAACTGCAAAGGCGTGATTCAGCAAAATGAAAAACACATGTAACGTAAAATATGTGCAAAGGCGAACCTCAAAAACACAATACCCCTGGGCCCCTGATGCTGTTTTGTTTTACCCAAAGGCTTGGTGAAAACTTTATTTTCAGGGCTAGACCCTACATCTGTGGCTGCATGTAGGTTTATGAAAATAAAACACGTGTTTTACATTTTGGCCGGCAACCCGCCAGACAGGCATTGACACGTGGTCTGGGCAGTGTTTTTGCGGCTGTTCTCGAGATTGTTTGCAGTTGTTACATTTGTTGTATATGTGCTTTACATTTTGTGGCACCCATCCTCATTTATTCTTCTAAAACAATGTAAACCCAAAACCCAGATGTAAAAAGATACCTATGTGGTTCCTCAAAAGATGTAAATCAGTACCCATAGAATAAACGCATCCCCAAATGCTTCAAAGTAATGATAATAAGCATAGTAAACGCACAGATCATGCATCCTTCCTTTCAAGCCTCTGGCTGCCTGGACCTCTACGACCATTCAAGTACTGTTGACCCAGGATTAATGCAGCCTTGGTTGATTCGGGTGGTCCCAGTTTAGAAGACATTCTTCACGTCGGAAGGATGCCTTTTTACGTTAATCAACCTTGATTTGAGGGGGCCATGTATGGGTGTGTCTTTCTCTAGGGGACCCCCCCAAAAGAAAAAGCAAAAGATAAAACGGTTTTCAGGTTGGGCGTCCCTTTGAAACAGACCAAAATAAGGGATCTTTTGGCTCATGTTGCGAAGTCAGTCGCCGGCCTCGTCCCGGAGCTCTGAGAGCTGCTTGGCCATGCGGCGCTTGTCCTTCGGCCGCGCGCGACGAGGAACCGTCAGAAAAAAAAGGGGCGCGGGTGGTCATTTATCTCGGAAGGTCCAGAACGCAGACAAGAGAAACCATGGGAAGAAAATTTCGAGTGCGGTGATTTCTTGGAAAAGAGGACATTGCTACTGGTACAAAAAGGTCGGCCCTGTTGGTGCTGACCCCAAATCCGCTGAGGGCGGCACATCTTCCAGCTCTTCCACCTGCATGCCGGCATCAAGCAAAGCAATTCTGCCAAGGCAGCCCAAAATACGCTCGGGCACAGGTCCAAATGAGGGGTCAGGTCAGGAGACCAAAAGGGGGCGAAGTTTGGCATCCATTCCACGCAAGCCGACTGCAAGGCCGTCGTCTTTGCCAGTGACGGCTGACTGCCAGCACGCCTTGTCCGTCAAGCGATGCTTCTCCACTGTCAAGACCTCAGTCACGCTCACCTCTCACCGGCCGGAGCGCTGCTTTTAAACATGGCACCTACCGAAGCAACGCCCATCACAGCCAATCGCCCCCGGAACGTAACGTGGCTCCAATCCGCAAGCAACTCAACTGACTGTGTGCCTGCAGTTGGGGATGTGAACCGAGCAAAAACATCGAATCCTTGCCCCTTGAATTGGTGGAGAAGTCGAATTGAGCCTCCCAAATGGATCTGCAGCTGTGGCCAAAGTGGCCAATCTTCAGCGGTTGGCGAGGACCTTAAGCCCAGCACCTGCAACCTCTTGGCCTGAGGCGACATGACGCTCGCATTTTATGGCGCAGGGTAGCATTTTAACGCGGGCAGCACGATGGCAACACCCGCAGTGTTGAAGGTTGCAAGCCCATGCTTACAACCACCAGTGCCAACATGTTGATTCTGACGGATACGGTATCATGATGCAAGCACTCGTCTACACTATGGGTTTTTATCCGAGAGGACGCTCGTTCACAAAGGTGCCCCTTGTGAAACCCCCACCAATCTGGGTGCGTGCCAAAATCGCTCTTTGGACTGAAACCAGGGAACCCCAACCAGTCCTTTTGCAATCTCGCTGGGTCTTTTGGGTTGTTGCGCCCATGCCGAGAGGTTGCTCTTTGCGCGTGGCAGGAGTGTTTTGACTGTCTCAGGAATGGCAAAAAGGTACCATTCCTAGGGAGCGGTTGCTCAAAGACGACAAGCAAAAACGACCGGAAAGGAATTCTAATCAAATCCGCCAGATGTCGCCAGGGGTTGATCCAACCCCGGTGGATCAACCGCAAAAAGAGCCATCATCTTTTGGGTCCACCAATAATTCCTTTCGCCATGGCCTCGAGTTAAAAAAGAGAAGAAAGAGTCAACCCGCCAAAAAACCCGAACCCCCACCCCCCCGCCCCCGCCCCCCTCAAAAAAAAAAAAAACGAACCCCCCCCCAAAAAAAAAAAAAAAAACTCCCCCCGCCTTCCCCAACAACCCCCCAACAACCCCCCCCCCCAAAAAAAAAAAGGAAGGAAAAAACCACGCCAGCCTGGTCCTCCGCAGTTCCCTGGGACTCTTCCAGCTCCGCCATGGCACGCTCGTGGGCCGCCAGGAACCTCTCGCGGCTGGAGCTGGGGGGAGGGGGGGGTGGGGATCTGCAGGAGGGCGAGGGGCGAGAAAATGTCCGGTCCTCCGGTTTGGAGTTTGGAGTCGTCAGGGGTGGAATTAGAACTTGCTTTGAATGGCAAAAGGCGAGGGACGAGAAAAGGTCCAGTCCTCCGGATTGGAGTCTGCAATGTTGATCCGTCCAAAGAGGGACTCGGAATTCATGGGGAAAAACGAAAAAGCGAAAAGAGGAAGGTGGACAAAGGCCCTTGTTGCTCTGGGAGAAACGCATCTTGAAGGCCCAGCTCGGCTTTGAAAGCTGCGGGGCGGGGAGGGGAGCGGATCGATTCGGAAAATGGATAGAGCTCTAGGCTCGGATTGGTGCCTTTAGAGGCGTTTCAATTGATAGCCCTTGAAGTGGCGAGGTCCCAAAGCATCTCCAGGGAGAGATGTGCTTGGTGCTGTCCGAAAGCCACTAGCCTTGAAGGCCTCTGACCTTGAGACCGTGACGGTGGATTCCGGTAGTCTCTGCACAAGCACTCACAGCTCCCCAAAAAAAAACCTGCGATAGATGCTGAATTTACTGGACATGAGAAATGCGAGTGTTGCCAGCTCTCATGGCATGTGGAGGTTTATGTATGTCATAGAAGATTTGCTGAAACCCGTGCCAGCGCATCTCATCCTGCCAACCTAGATTGACGTCCAAGCCAAGTAGAAACGCCAAGGGTTTGACGAACACATTTAACTAAGCTGCTGGGGCTCACAGGCACAGGGTTCTATGGAAAACCGGTGGATCTTGGCATCCCAAATTTCCGCCCTGAAAGCCTGACAAGAAGGCTACATAGGAAATCACCAGAAGAAAAGTACCTCGATACTGGGCTGTCCTCAGATCCCCTGCTAAAGGTGACCAACTTTTGGGTTACAAAAAGCAAAGGAACCGGATGGCTGGTTGAGCTGCCAAGGCCCCAAACTTGCTTGGAACTTTCGCGCTGGGAATGAGCAATGACCTGGACTCAGCTTGGCACTTCTCGTACAAGCGCTTGTACTCGTCCCTGTCCGCCTCCAACGCGGATCGCCTCAGCTCAACCCAGCCGATGGCGCCCACAGGCGACGCAGTGGACCCAAACATAAAATACTGCGTCCCCATCCCAACCAGACTTGAAATCATAAAACTGTACTTCAATTGGCCTATGTTGAAGAAGCACCTGGTTTGCATTCCCGTGAGCGACAACAGGTCGCCTGTACAGTCCCCGGAAGGCGCGTTCATTTCTCCAGATTCCGCACTGAGCGCACGGATTTACTCGGAAAGAAGAGTTCGTGGGGCCAGGAGTCAGCTTTCTCGCATTGTATCGAACACTCGCAGGCATGCGACAGTATTCCGGCCGGCTCTTAAATGGCAGCTGGCAGGTTTCGGGGGACTGGGGGACAGGAGGGAGCCTTGCGAGCATCCACTTGCATGTGGATGTTTGCTCTTGGCTCTCGAATTTCAATCGGCATGGCCGCATGGCTTGCTCGGTTTTGGCTCGGACTTGCCGTCTGGCCTGGCGCTTCTCACTTTCAGAAGCTCCACATCTTACCGGATCAGCAAATGGGTATGCCTTCTTTCGAGGGTGCCCGTTGTTTGTGCTTTTAAAGGGAAACCCAAAGGACAACCAACATTCTCAGGGGGGGTTCTCTGAAAAAAGACACACTCAGATGTCTAGGAACTTGAGCACATTGTGCAGCACTGGAGCCCAGTAATTTTGGCGATGTGCTTCAGCTTGGGGCCCCCATCTCTGCGGGTGACCGGTATCTTTACTCAATGGATATTGATCTATCCAAAAACATTGGGTTCTTCCGTTACCTATCAGCAACAAGGGTGGACCACTCTGCAACTGGAGCCCTCCGATTTTTCATAGTTGTTGAAACGGAAGCCAGCTATTTCAGAATTTGAAGAAGCCTCCCTATGGTTGGATTGAGGGGGAAAAATAACGCAGGGTTCCAAAAGGACAAAACCACCATTGTCACAAGAGCTTGCTGAATCCGCTGACCCCTTGCCTGCAAGGGAATCAGAATCATTCCTGATGGGGTCTTCATCATCATTACAATTATCATCAGCATGATCACCATCATCACCATCATCAGCATCATCACCATCACCACCACCACCATCACCATCACCATCACCATCACCATCACCATCACCATCACCATCACCATCATCATCATCATCAGCATCATCATCATCATCAGCATCATCATCATCATCATCATCATCATCATCATCATCATCATCATCATCATCATCATCATCATCATCATCATCATCATCATCATCATCATCATCATCATCATCATCATCATCATCATCATCATCATCATCATCATCATCATCATCATCATCATCATCATCATCATCATCATCATCATCATCATCATCATCATCATCATCATCATCATCATCATCATCATCATCATCATCATCATCATCATCATCATCATCATCATATCATCATCATCATCATCATCATCATCATCATCATCATCATCATCATCATCATCATCATCATCAGTTCCTGCTGGGGTCCTCATAGTCTCTTCCTTAATTTTCTTGTGTTTCTTATCTTTCTTATCTTTCTTATCTTTCTTATCTTTCATCGGCTGCCTGCGCTACATGCAATGCCAGGGATGCTATGACAGCATTCTAGTCATCAGCCTCTCTGTCTTATCTTCATCTTTCTTATCTTTCTTATCTTTATTATCTTTCTTGTCTTTCTTAGCTTTCTTATCTTTCTTATCATTCTTTGTTGTACATTTCAAGTGTTGTCTTTGTTTAAAATGCATTTCAAGTATGACGTTTGACCCGTCTTGCCATGCAAAGGATGCTATGATGATAGTCATCATCATGCATCATCATTGTGGTTATCATCATCATCCACTACCGAACAATTCGAGAAGTGGCTCGCTCACACCTAAAACCAGCGAGTTTCTTCTTCACTTCCACCTGGGTTGTACCAACACAAAAGAGAGGTTGGCGGCACAGGGCGGCAGCCCTTAGATATGAACCCTTACAATGTGTATCCAACAACTCTATCGGCGACGCGATGGAAATCCCAAACAAAACGAACAAACACGTCTCCCCTTGACTCCCTTCGCTCCATCTGCAGATCTACATTCCAAAGCCTGCAAATATTTCAAAATTAATAATTCATAATATATATATATATATATGTTTAAAAATAACAATAATGATAATAGACAAAACAACAATAACAGTAATAATAATGATAAAGGACCTTGCTCCTAGTGAGCTTAAATAGGGCAACACCTACATGATCCCCTCCCCTCCCCGCCAAAAACATCTCTCGGCACCGCCGAGACCCCGGCTGCTCCTCCCACTGCCTGGCCGCCTCCTCCAAATCCTCCTGGGTTCCCACCATCTTCGCCTCCAGGTCGGTGACCTCAGCGTAGACCGTCGACTCACGTTTGTCGGCTTCGAGGTAGCAGGCACAGCGGCTTGCAGTGGGGGGCTGTGAGCCAAAACCAATGGTACCATTTTGGTTGGTAGGTGAATTCACCACCCATTTTAGAACCTATTTTAGTGGGGATTGGGATGTTCACTGACACCTATGCGTCTCACACGTCGGCTTCGAGGTGGCACAGCGGGCTTGGCGTGGGAGGGGGCCGAGAAACCCAGCACCAAACAAGCCCCCCGCGCCGAGAAGCGGGTTCTTTAGCTTAGTTCGCATGGGTGTGTATGTGTCCTCATTCGATCCTGATGGAACTTGTCCAATAACATTCTGTGATTCTCACTAAGCCACTGGCTCGGCAGGATTGATCTCTAAGCACCATCAAGGTCATTATCTATGCCTGCTTGCCATCACCTGCAAAACACATGGTGGTTCGCCATCGGGTTGCAAACATGGGAGCAACTTTGCCCGCCGAATATGAACTTGACACTAGCTGAATCCTATGTCAGTGTATGGCTGCAATAAGAATAGAAGGCGCCGCGGGAGCGCTTCAATCCGCCAAAAGCATGCCAAGGCGCCGATCGAGCGCGTTGAAAAGTGTGGAAAGTATTGGGTGGTTAAAGGCGAGGGTGCACCAAACGAGGGCGGATATGAGCAGGTGTTTGTTCTTCGCCTGTTAATGAAGAATATTCAAGCAATTGAAAGCAGCTGGTGTGTCGATGGTGGGGGCTCTCTGCCTTGCGCTGGAATCCTTGTCACACCCGAGGCTTTCTGGGCATGTTGGGCACAAAATAATGCATTTAGGGGTCACAAAAGCCAATGCTCTGCACTCTTGCGTTTGCTCTAAGATTCTGCATTTGGCCAAGCCTCAATTGTGGGAATGCCTTCTGCGAATTCAGCTTGGGCTTGTCGGCTTGGGTTCATCTTTGCGAGCTTTGTTGGGCTCCAGCTAGCGCAGCTTTTTTCGAGGCCCTTGAACAAATGTCTGCCGGCCCAGAACTAGGCGTTGATGTGCGAATGGGAAATCTTGCGCCTGAAGTTGTCACATAGGTTCTGCGACTCTTCCAACATCAGCCTGAGAAACGGCCAAATTGGCCTTGGCCGGCTGGGCATCTGGCCCGACTCACGAGCACGCAGTTGCGGCCTGCGCTGAAAGCATCGCTCAGTAACAAGCAGGCAGCAAGAATCGCCCCACTGTTCAGCTTGGTCCAACGGGAAACCGCAAAGGGAACCTTGGCTCATTTTTGGGGAAATCCCAGCAGGATTGATTCTGAGCTGAAACCAATTCACCCCCTGGCGTTCGGATCCCTTCTGGCGCCCAGGCGCGTTAGCTCAGAAACGCCCCTTGCGAACAGTCGACATGAACCACGTGGCAGACCAAGGCATGACTCCTGAACCGCCGCACGCAACCTGGAAGAGCACATTCTTTGTTGCCCCGGGTTGAGCATTGAGACTTCCAGCAAGGAGCCAGAAGTTCTGAGCGAGATTCCACATGGGCTTGGTCCTCGGAAGTCTGACCCCATCAACGGCCTTCGAGCTCGGTGGAGCGCGCGCGCTCGCATTGGTATCTCCAGGATACCAGGATGTCGTCCTGCAACGGAAAATCCGGAAATTCTTAGGGCAAACGGCCAAAAACATAAGGTCTCCACAAAAAGCCCCCACGCTTTCAGCCATGCTGGAGGTATCTGTCAAATCGAGCCAGTCCACTTGACACCGGCTGTTGCGCTTGTTGCTTCTGTCTTGTTAACTGAAGCAATGAGCTACGTCTATCCCGCATATGTTGTACCAAAGCTACGGTCTATCGCTGACTCTCATCTCTCTATGATCAGCTTCGCGTGGCTATCTTGGCTGAACCCTCCTGCCTAGCTGACTCATAGGGTGCCTCAATTCCCCCCTTCCAAACCGAGGCCGAAAGATGAAAACAACCAGGACTTCTGCCGTGCAAGGACTGCTCGCAAGAAGTGCCGGCAACATCATGATGGCAAGGGCGACCTTGCAAGTCATGTTTCTTCCCCGAGGATTGCCTGCGGATTTCGAGATTTCGCCTGCTCCAGGCTGCCTTGCAGCATTCAGAATACAACAGGCACACTCCAAAGTGCATAAGCCAGATGCAAAAGCCGGATGCACATGTCACGTTTGGTGGCGCAGTCACGTTCAGTCCTCGCATGGCATGACCTGGTTCTTCCTGCCTTGTGAACATGCGTGTAGCAAAGGGTCAAGCTTCATCTTCCTCGATGTCTGACCATATCTGCAGAGGCACATTGCTTTCTTCAGATGTTGGTATCGGGGCTGATTCTCCGCAAACGTGAACTTGTTGTCCTTGACATGCCTGAGCTTTTGAGCCCTGTCCCGGTACCTTCTCAGAACAATGGGTGTGTCTTCTTTCGGGGGTATCTTGTGTTTTGTGTTTTAAAAGGGAAACCAAAGGAAAACCACTATTTTGGGGGTCCCCAAACAAACGACACACCCAGTAGCATCAGGAATAATCCCACTTCCATGGCATGTGCGGGTCGGGTTTGGCGATCTGTCCTTCATCTTCCTCCTAATGGCGTGGGTCTGGTTGCTGACCGTGCGGGCCAGGTACTCCTCACCGGGGTCTTCATCGCATGTCGCATCTGGTGCTGATTAAATCGGGATGCTCCAGGGTTTTGGACATTTCACTAGGGATCCCCTTAGAGGAACCACAAGGGATGTTGTTTCAGGTTGCTTTGAAGACTTTGCAGCACCCAAAATTCTCGCAGTGTATTGATTGCCTCGGTTGCATGTTCAACTGAGTGCCACGTCGCCCTTAAGACGCTCCAAGCATCCGACCTGACTCGCAACGTGCCAAGTCGCTCCGAAGCTTTTCGATCCATTCCTTGGGAGTTCTGCGATGTTACACGAGGCAAGCGCCATGCCTGCATGTCCCTGTCCATCTGCCGGTTTCGGCAAAGTCCAAGCTAAGGCAACAGGACTGATCCATGGACTCTCACAGGCACTCGGCGCGCTCTCAGAGCTGACGTATCAAACACCCGAAAAATACAACATGGTGGGGAAGCTGCATGGCATCTGACTGTCCTTCAGCAGGGTTCACCCACAGCCCTGCGACATGTGCACAAGTTGCACCATCAGCAGAGGAAATGCCTTCCAACCGCCTGACCTGACTGCCTTCTCGCTCCGCAAGGAGGCGCGAAAATTGCGTCTGTGGATCTAAACCTTTTCGGTCTAATCCACCGTCTTCCGATGTATGCTTTTTTCCAGATCCTGACTCGGCCCAGGAGCAACAAGCGATTCTGAAAACCACATTGCGGGTCCCATCTAGTTCTTGTCCAGGTAAGGTATGTGACTCGCTCTTGAAAGGCACCAGGTGCATCTGAAGAAGACACGTTCTTGTCCCAAAGGCTCGCCGGGTCAAACCAAACAAACTTGCTCTGCCGCGGTGTTTGCCTCCAAATGGTCCAAAACTGCGACTCCGGGAAAGTCAGGGCATTTGGTACTCTGCCTATGTTTGATGTATAGGCGCGCAGGGAGGCGGTCACAAAATGGATGCCCTTGTCAGGATTTCATGCGGTTTCGTGCTGCAGGTCAAAGTTGTGGACTCCACATCCAACAATAAAAATTAAAGTGATCTTTATGATGTTGCACAATGTGCGAGTTGACCAAACACAGCAAAGCGCCGTCGCAGCTAGGGCCCCCCTTGTCATACACGTACCTCTCTACTTACTGCGCATGAAGTCACGATGGGTGGGTTCGCAAGGTCAGGGATGATCCCCACAAATCTCTGGCGGGGCCGTGTTCGTACCACCTTTCAATACCTAGCAGGACTGCCTCAGAATCAAAAAACAATGTTTAGAATCTCTGGGCTAGAATCACCAACCTCCTGGACCTTGGCCTCATTTCTTGTTTTTGGTGGGGGTGTCCCGGGTGTCCAAACCCCAGTGCCGAATCCAGAGGCGTCAGACTCTGTCTGCGCTACCACTGCGCCTTTGGCGCAAGTCCAAACTTTGATCCTTAGACCTCGGGCAGTTGCACAAGCCTGGCCAAAACCAACACATCTGCCGCCTTTTTGGCCGATATCACTCATATCCAACCGCATTTCTCCGATAAAAAATCGTGCCCGGGGCAACAGACCCGTGGAAAAACCGCATTTTCCGTGTGGGGAGCCTTCGCCAAGGTCCTGGCAATCGCAACCAGCAATGGCTCTTTTCTAATCTGCAGTACTTGCGCCACATATCCTGCATATCTCTTTGACAGGACCGGTCGCAAGGGGCATCACGTTTCTACAGCCCTGACCTTGCCAGGCAGGTTGTGGTCACTTCCATCATCCATTGAATGTTACCTGAGCGCAATCCTGCGCCACATGAGATCTAACGTGTCACTTCAACAGGTGCGTAAGAATCATGGCTCTGAAAAGGTGCAGAAATTGAAATGGTGCAGAAGTCCAATGGATTTACGCGTACAGGTAGGAGCTTTTGTTGGGGACCCTTTGCAGCCTTGGTGGGCATCATTTAGGTGGGGAGTTTTAAATGACGTTTGGGAATACGGAACCCAATGTAACACGCACGTCACAAACACACACACACACACACACAGAGAGAGACACACACACACAGACACACACAGGGACACACAAAGAGACACACAAAGAGACACACAAAGATACACACAAAGAGACACACAAAGAGACACACAGAGACACACAGAGACACACAGAGACACACAGAGAAACAGAGAGACACACAGAGACACACACAGAGACACACAGAGACACAGAGAGACACAGAGAGACACACAGAGACACACAGAGACACACAGAGACACACAGACACACAGAGAGACACAGAGACACACAGAGAAACAGAGACACACACACACACATTGTTGGAGCCATAAATTAGCTCTTCGCTCATCCCCAGATCGCATCCTGCACCTAGTTGTTTACCCTGGACATGTGGGTATCGCTTGTCTCTTGGGCTTTTTTGCAGGCTTTTCAAGAGTCAGACCACGTCCACACAAAAAGAAAGAAACAAAGTGCTGGTTCATGAGAATGATCTCCTGAGTAGCTCAAGTTCTTGGATACCTATTCCCTGCTGTGAAGTGGCGTGACCTGTGGCAAGGCCGGGGCAGGTGGCAAGCTGAGGGATTTCGAGGCTCTAAAACCCGGGATCAGGAGAGAGAGCTTCTGCTTCACTTGATTGAAGCTGCCCCTGAAGATCTGATGGATGCAAATGTCTCTAGTTGGAAGTTCAAGAAATGGTTGTGGTTCATGAGAAAAAAGTTGGTCACCCAAAAATGGCTGGCCCTGGTAAATGGAAAAGACTGACACCTGCAGGCCTCTGATTTTGACCCATACCCCCTGTCTCTGAACTTCACATCCCACTTCTCACTGCGCATTGCATCCGAACCCAAGGGGGCGAGAGAGCTTGCCCAAGAACTCTGGCCCGCAAAAGGCGGGGCCAAGGCACGCAGCCAATTCGGCCGCGTCGTGAGACACGCTCCTTGGGAGTTGGGAGGAATGATGCGAAGCGAGGGGCTGCCCCTCATAAACCAGGTCGAGCCGTAGCCGGCTCCGAACCATTCGATTCGATTCCCTCGCTAGCGCGCGGGGGTCGATTGGCCAAGCGTCTCACGGCATCAGGGGCAGCGCGACCTGCTGTTCAGCCCCGTCCATGCGCGCAGAATCCCCTCATCGATCTTGAAAAACAAGAGGCTGAGAATGTCAGGAACATACTGAACCACAAAGAACGACCTCAAAGGCCAAAAGCGCCAAGTGTTTGCCTCTCTGAACCCAAAAGGGAAACCCCCTAGGACACCTGGCTCAAACCCCTTCCCCCACCTGCTATCAGTACAGGTCGGAGCCCAGTTGCAGGCCTCACGCGAGGCAGCCGTGCCCTCCGGTGGTGGTTTGTCACATTGTATCCGCAGAGGGATCCCCCTGGTTTCTCCCCCCTGGTGTTCAAGGAAAGGCCAAAGGGAGCAAAAGGGAGCAACCCCCCCTTCAAGAGATGTGCTTTCCAACTTGATACAGGCCATATCATGCATGCGTGCTAGGCGGGGAATTTTACCTGAGATGGGGGCCGAAGCCATGGGAGTCTAAAAGCCCATGTGTGATGTGTTGCTTGCTGGTGCGATAGGTAGGCCTCTAGGGGGATTGAACCTGCGGGTCCCCTGAAAGGAAACCATTGGATGGATGGTTTATAAGGGGTATTCCCATTCTCATTTCCTGCTGAGCGCCAGCAAGTTGGGCACCGATTTCATAATTTACCGCCGCCTGCGTGCTATTGCCAACCCATCTCGCGTTGCTTCGGTTCCGCTCTGGCTTCTCTCTTTGCCTTACACGGCTTGTCGTCAAAAACCTCAAGTCCTGGTTCCCCACTCTCCATGTTATATGGGTTTGGCTCAACATTACTGACATACCGTAGGTTTAGGCAGGTCTTAGTCTTTGTTTCCACTACCCAGGGGCCATGTTGGTACATTTTCTGAGCCACTGCCATATTGATCCTCTTCCAAGCATGGTGAATGCTCCGACTTTGCAACCTCCACTTCGCCTGAAGTGGCTCTACAACCCTGGCACCAAGGGAATGAAGGCCTGCCGGAGTCCCGATTTTGTGGAAACAAGAGCCATAGCAACCTGTGAGAGGAAGCATCCTGATTCACCTCAATGAACGTATAAAAGCAAATCACTCAATGAACTCAAGTGCTTACCCACCTCTGAGCCTCGGGTCGATCGGCTGAAACCTTCCCCGGCTCGCTCGGCCAGAGCCCTCGGGTGGCTGCCTGCTGCATCTTTTGAAGCACCGGCCTCAAGTTGCAAGGACGTCCGATGCAAAGCGTGCGCGCTTCTTGCTGGATCCACACCCTCGTGAGTCGATGATTCAGCTCACTGATTCCAGCCCCCTTGAATTTTCCGCTCTCTTGGCCATGGGCAGGCCAAGATGTGGCTTTCCGGGTTCTTCGTCCTTCCTTTTTCGGATGGTGCCGTTTTGGGTTTGATTTGAAGGGGGTTCCCTCCTGACTCCCCGCCCGACCGGCCGGGCACCCCACATGGCAAACTGCTGGCGGGCAGCCAAAGCCGCCTGCAAATCGCGGCTCGAAGAACTTGCTGGTTCAATAGGCAGGGAATGAGTCGGATGGAATGACCCCCCCAAAAAAAAAAACATCCATCCGATTTGGTGTTTTGTTCTTGAAAGGAATCCCAACTTCCGGTTCATTGCCAACACCCGCAAGGTCATTCCCTGAACACCAGCAAGGTAAAGAGGCCTGGGTTCTCGGTTCTATGGACCAGGTGGCTCCGAATGACTCCACAAAGACGTCCAAATCTGCTCGGGGTGGCTGAGAGGCCTGGTTGGGGCGCGGGTCCACCCAACTTCCAATCCGGGCGCATCCAAACGCAACACAACTCCCCGTTGGCTGAACTTGGTGGGCCGTGAGGTTTGGCTTCCGCTTCTCCCGTGACAAACCCTTAGAGATCGCTGCGGCGGGGTGCCCCAGCGAAACCTCGTCAGTGCTAGAAATATCAAAGAAATTGTCTGTCTGCGTTAAGCGCTCATATCCGCAAATGACGTTGGAATTGAACGAGCACAACTTGCCAGTGGTCATCTGGTGCCCATGGTATGCCTGTTGCAAAAGATAACGAAGGTCCAATTTGTTGTTTTCGTTTCAGTTTGACACCACTTGGGTATGTCTTTTTCTGGGACCCCTCCCCAAAACGGGTGGGTTTTCCTTTTGGTGTCCCATTTAAAGCCACCTTCCAAGGAGAATCCTCAAAAAAAAAGGGACACCCCCTGTTAAAAGCTTGGCTGTGCCTCAAAAAACCGGAATTCCAACATGGGTTGCCCGATCGGAAAGTGGAAACATGGAATTCCCCAACCCGCGGCTTGCCCCCCGCTGCTTAAATTTTGCGCCGCGCCCATTTGGCTTCGACCCGCCAAAACCAAAAACCGACGCCGGGCGCCATCCTGGGCCGTGGCTTCCAGCGGCGGAGGGCTGCCGTTCAAGAGCGCCAGCACCGCGGTCCTCAGCGAGTGGGCTTAGGTTCTTCGGGGGCATTTGGCGGTGGGTCAAAACCCAGGAAAACCCCTGGTGCACGGCAAAATAGGTGGCAAATGGAGGTTCATCCGCCCCAAAATGGAGCCATAGGTTATGACCCATGGCCATTTGAGTGAGCCTTGGTGGGCTTGGAAACAGGCTTTTGGGGGGAGTCGTGGTGGATTTGAGCTTGGATTGGCTGGGGAACTGAGAACTTGGGGAGTCGTAGAACTTGTTTCTTTGCCTTCTCTATGTGTCTCTGTCTGCTCCCACAAACTAAATATCTCCCTTTTGAGGTGCCTTTTTTGCTTTCAAAGCGAACCAATTTAGTTCTTAACACTGCGGGTCTTGGTCCGCCCCTGGAGGGAAAATATTGGTTACCCTGACCTCCCGCAAATGACAAATTTGCGAAAAGGTGTTGCTGTCAAAGAGTTGCTGAAGAGCCGGAAAAATCTTCAATTCGACCCTTGTTTTCTTCGAGTTGCTTGTGGCAGTCTGGGAATTGAGCTTCCAAGGGTTAAAAAAAAAAAAACTAAACTTCGGGCCTCGCCTCTTTGCTCGCCTGACATGCCCCTGGCTCGCACCAAGCGAAAGCCTTGGCCACCTTCGCCGCTGGTCAACCCCGAGCCTTGCGCCATGTTGGTGCGTCGTTTTTAGGCCACACTCCCCAGAAAAAATGCTGGTTTTCCTCGTGGCTTCCTTTCAAAGCCCACAAAAAGAGGTACCCCGAGACCCCGAGATACCAAAAAAAAAAAAGAGACCCATGTTGGCCCAAGCCCCAAGTGCAAAACAACCATTGCACCCAAGCTGCTCCATGGGCGGCACTGCGCCCTTGCGGGGCCAGAACCATGCCTTCCTGGGCGTCTCGAGAGAGAGAGAGGCTTGCAGGTTCAAAACAGAGGCCCAAAAGGTGACTGGAAATCCTGACAAAAAAATAGATGAGCCGAACTCCCGAATGCTGGAAGCTTTAAGGAGAAGCGCCCCACCCATCTGAGAAAACAAAGGGATGCTCAAAATTCAGCTGAGCTACGCCTTGTCTTGCCAAGACAAGAGCCCAGGCTGCAACCAATGCGAGTCTTTCTTGTCCGACAGCTGCCTGGCAAAATTCCAGCGATGCATTCCAAGGCCGAAGGGTGTGACGGTGTGACCAGCTCGCCCTACGCCATGTTCTCCCTTTGCATGGGGAAATACGTAGGGGTTGATCAAAAGGTCAGTTGCCTGGGACGACCATGGGTTGCAAAACCACGAAAAAGATGACATGTCCATGGAAAAAGTTACGTGTGGTCAAACCTGGGGGGCCCTATCAAGATGGAATATGGATCAAGCCCCATATGTTTCCCGCATCTCACCAAAACGGTGCCAACCAAAACCAGAAAAAAATCTGAGCCTCAAGCAATGACACCCAGTTTTCCAGCCTGCTGGCGCTCTTGGCTCGCCTCAAGATGTTCACCACAGGGGCGGTGAGGACCGTACTAAGGGCTGCCCGTTGTCGTGGGGAATTGAAGTGCTCTTAGTGGATTCCTACTCTCCCCAGTGAAACTTCTGCATCCCCATGCTGACGTATGCTCCAAATTCCAACTTTGGTCGGAACTTACATCGGCCATTCCAAGAAACAACCATGGGTGAGAATGTTCATTGAGTACCCTTTGGTGGACATCATTTGCGTGAGGATTTCTGTCCACCAACCCATTTGGAAGGGTATTCCCCATCCAAGGCATGCGCCTGACCCAATCAGATCAGCCCCCGACCTCTTCTTCCCTTCTGGCTCCGTGGACAGTCCCCCCTGCACACCGTGGCATTCACGGCACTCGCAGCAAAAGGTCCAAGAGTTGTCAAAGGCAGTGACAAGACGCCATCAAAAAAATGCAAATTGCAAAGCGCCATGTGCAAGGTCTCAAAGAGGAGCATGGAACAACTCAGCAAGGACAAAGGCCGCTGCCTCGCATGTGGAGCCAGCTCCTGGATGGAGAAAAAAGAAGAAAAAAACGGATTCAGCTGAGACCGCGCAAAAATAGTGAGGCCACCCAGCGCTTCTGCAATAGACATGCTTTGTCACCAGAACATGACACGATGCACAGCGCTCGGTAAGGACAGGTGGTACCGTCCTCGTAGGCAGGGGTCGCCGTTCTCTTCGGCTCGCTGACACACTGTCCTTGGTTCCAAAGTGGAACGATTCAGGGAATCATTGCAGCTCACACTTGGCACACTTGCACTTGCAACTCATACATCCATCCTGTGCCCCCCAAAACTGGTTGCTCCAGCACGTCTCACTGGATACTTCAAGTTCGTACCTCGTCACTCTCGCGGAGTTTGCACCTTGACAAGCCGCGACTTGTACACTGCCAAGTAGGCCCGCAGGACGGGATCGTCCAGGTCAGGACGTGGCATGTCTGCCTGGAGAGCTTGAAATCCCAAGGTCCCAAGGTCTTACCTGCTTCCATCAATCACTTGCCCTCACAAAATCAAGTTGGTCTTCTGCAGCCCATGCTTCCAACATTGTAACATGGCATACCCGGCTATGTGAGGCACCGGGTCCGCGACAGGCGTTCAATGGTCAACAGCAAATGTGGCAACAGGCACCTCCATCTCGGCCAGTGCAGAGAGCAGGTCGTCTGGAAGGGAAAGGATCGACGACTCTTCCTGCACCTGCGGACAGGTGACACATCCAAAAGTCCCAGGAAAGCGCTTCACTCATCTTCCCGCTCAACAAGTCAACCTAAACTGGGCCAAACACCTGCTTCATGATCATATTGTAGTTTGTCATGTCAGCACAGATCTTGCTCTGGATGGCCAGCATTGGCATCACCAAGCGCTCGTTACCTCGTCGCAATGCTCTGGGTGTGAGTGCCCAACGTTAGATGTCCTCAAAACGGATTTGCGTCTTCTTTTTGGAGAAAATCCGTTTTTCTCCCCCCCCCCCCCCCTGCATTTTTTCAGGGGAAAAAAGGGAAAAGCCGGAAGGACCGCCCAACCCAACCGTGCGAAAACCCACCCCGGCCGTGTGAAAATGGATGTCGGTCGCCTTCCGGGGCCGCTCCGAGTGGCTGCGCGGGTGCCGGGCCCGCCTCAGCCGTGCTCAGCCGTCGGTGACTTTTTGGGGCGGTCGTGAAGCCAAATGCGCTTTGCGAGGCAACTTGGAAGGTCTTGTGATTCAGGGATGTTTGGGAGTCAAATTGGGAGGTTTGTCTGGTTCAGACAAGAGAGAAGGAGAATGATTTGGCTATGAGACTATGGAAGGTCACCTTTAGACAGAGAATGAGAATAGTTTGGGTGATTTGGGCGGACAGCCTCAGGCAGCCAGCTCAACTTGTGGCTGAGCATGCGATTGCCACTGCACTGGTGACATGTGAAGCCATGACGGACTCCGCTGAATTGGAAGCCTCGTGCGGATTTCCTGCGACAAGTGCAGGCTTCACAGGGGTCTCTCTCTTTCTTGGAGGAACACCCATTTGGTTGGACTTTTCATCCGGAAACCAAAAACGAAACCCAATGTCGGGGCTCCCCTGTTTTGGGCCATATCCAAGCCATCGTGTCCGCGAGCTGCCTTTGGGAGCAGGTGGCGATCTGACTAGAAACAACGACGATCTACAAGCCCACGAGAATCTTCGCAGCATTCAACAGCCGATTTGTGGGATGTAAAAAGCCGGGTAAGAAATGATTGCACAGACACTCCTGTGCATTTGAAGGAGCATGCCCAAGTAAGAAAAGATACATCAAAGTTCTGTGAAGGCCCAAGAAGCCAAGCTTGTGTTCTAGGGGACGATCCCTTTCATGTACTGGATGTTTCACTAAATGTGCGGCTTGCTCAATATTCCATTTAGGGCCCTAAAATGACCATAAGTAACTTGTCCCACTTAGTGGCTGAAGCCATCCTTTTTGGTGGCTTCCCCCAAGGGTCACCCTATGTATCACGGACCTTCTGATCGCCCCATACTGTGGATGGACGAAATCCATTTCGCACCACCCAAGAAACCATGGTTAAAACCACTGTTTGTTGGTATTTACAGGGAATCAGACCATTCCAGGGCTTCTTGGGTGGTGCGAAATGGATTTCGCGTCCATCCACAGTATGTGACGGGCCCCGAGCGCGCTAAAAGCGCCTCAGGCCACGACAGTTTCGCCGGCTTCGTGCGCGCCGGCGAGGCTCGCGCCGACTTCCGGCCTGCGCAGAGGCACGCGGCCGCACCCACCCCCCCCCCCCCCCCAAAGGCTTGCTGGTGCAATAAGTGAATGAATGCAGGGACTCCCTTAAAGGAAACCAACAGTTGGATGGTTTTGGTTCATTCCATTTCTCATGAAGCCAGGGACTTAAAGGAAACCACCAGTTGGATGGTTTCGCTTGGGGTGAATCCATCTCCTTTTTCCCTGATGAGCAGCAATCAAAAGAAGCGGCTGGGACAAAGCTAGTCAAAGACAAAACCGCGTGCGTGTTCACTGTCAGACTATGCAGCCGGCGTTTGATCAGGACCTTGTCTGTTGACCACCAACTGTGTTGCTTATGCAGGATGCAGCACATGCCAAAACAGCATTCACAGATGGACCCAAAAGAAGTTCACACGTCACCTCACAACAATATGTGTTTTTTCCCCTGCTTTGAGACCAGCAACTCTTTTCCAGCTATCACTTTTCCAGCTATCACTTGTACATACCCCCAGAAACAAACGTGTGCTGGTTTACCAGATCTTCCCCCTGAGAGAAGGCTGCCTGCGGGTCCCCTGGGTCTTTGGAAACCGAATCCTTGAGCGGGCATTCCTTCGAGTGACGCAATGCATTCACCCGCAGAATCGCAGGTCATATAGCCAGCCTTGCAGGTCATCTTTCGAAAAAAAAAAAAAAAAAAAAAAAAAAAAAAAAAAAAAACGCTGGTATGTGTTCAATAGGAAAACATAAGAAGCTATGACAGTTGCAATAAAAGGTAGATGTACCCAGCAGACAAAGCACATCCAGGAAATGGTCTCTACCCAGAGTAAGCATTGTTATCAACTTGTGTTGACCCCCCCTCGCCCTGCCGCCCCGCCCCCCTTACTCGCTGGTAGCCCATGTGATGCATCTAGTTCACATTCAAGTGTCATCGTGCTCCCAGCGGGCGCGGCATGTTCATCTTAATGAACCCCTAAATGTTCCTTAGTGAAACCGCCTTGGAGAGTGTTGAAGCAACACACTTCAACCCCGCACCCCACACGCATCAGTAAAATGGGGGCCAGGAGGCTCTCGTCCACCGCCCGAATTGCCGGAACCGAACCCCCGCCGTCAGTGGGCTTCGGCGGCAGCCGCGGGTCTCTCGGGCATCCTGACAGCAAGTGCGACCCGAGACGACCGAAAAGTCGGACCCATGGGAAACCCGCATCATCGGTGCGGTCTTTGAACATGTTTGGGAACAACAATTTCTGTGAGGCAAACGTGGGAGTCACATCCCCATCGCGGTTTCTGTCAGTTTTATCACTTCACGGGTGTTCCCGTGGCATCACGGAAAGCGGTCCTACCCAATGTTCCACGACCGCAACCCGCAAGGGGTTTCAGACTCCGATGCGGAACCCAAGTGCATCCTGAAAATCGAGGGCTCTGAAGCCGTCCTTTTGGGGTCTGAATCGATTTGTCGGAACGATTTGGGGCGCAACGCTTGGTGTCTCCGGGCATTGTGTCTGGCCCGCTGGAACGAAGGAGGCCATCCTGAGCCCAGGTCCTGGCGCTTCACAGGGTCCGTGCGACACCTCACGAGAATGGTCAGAGCGGGATGTACGAGCCAGGATTGAACAGCAACCAAACGCCTTGAACCTGGCAACGCAGCAACGCAGAAGAAACCACACATCTGAAAAGCAACAAAAAAAATGCAGCAAGACACCGAAAAGCAGGGAGAGCATTGTCTGAGCTCTCGGGCCCGCATGAAGCTCTGGTCGCGCAAGTCCTCTTGCTTCTGCCTCACCCGTTGGACGTTCTCCAGATGCCTCAGGGTGCAACGCCCTGTTGGCCGCTCATCCAAGAAAGATACTGTGGATGGACGAAATCCATTTCGCACCACCTACAAGAAACCATGGGGTTGTCTGTTGGTATTTACAGGGGAATCATCAGAAACCAAAGGAACCCTTAGGTGTTGCAGGCGTTTGACATTCGGAGTGAAATAGAAAAGCACCAACAACGGGGATGCCCTCACTCCCAAAATCGCAACTGAAGCAGGGTCTCTTCAAGAGGCCCAGAGGTGCTATGTTGCCGGGAGGAAGCTCAAGTCTCATCAAAACATGGGGCCATCGAATACCTACAGAAAGCTGAGCAGTCTCTGCCCGAACTCACAAATGGCCGGGAATTGCGTGGCTCACGACGCCCTTGGAATCAGCCCATTCCTCATCCCCAGAACCACGTCAAGCAAGGAAGCACGGATCCTCACACAGGATCCTCCAGAGTTCCGAGTATCTCTGTTCAACCGTGCAAACATGCCTGGTTTTTGGGAAATATGGGGGGGGGCCTGCAGTCGCTCTTCCAAACATGTTGGCTACGGATAGCAAAGACACGCCCCTCGCCTCTGCTGCAGAAACTGCACATCTCTCTTCCGCTCCTCTCAAGTTCGGAGCTCCAATCACCAAGGACGCCCGGCCGGGTGAGTGCCCGGTGAGTCTGCATCCTTTTGAAGGCAAAGAGGAAGCCATGCTGAAAACCAGACTGTGCTCGCTTTCTGTTGTGAATGTCGCATCCTTCCCGCGGTTGCACATATGCGGGAAGGATTGATACAGCCGGTCCTATCAAAAGCTTCACACGGGAAGCGGCATTGCCAAAGCCGGCGTGGCGCTTGACTTTCACACTGCCCGAGAATAAAGGGACACCGAACGAAAGCCACCCATTTTGGGTGTCCGCGAGTTTGAGATATCCCCCTGTTGGGGCGTTCCAGAGAATCGGAAACCACTGTTGGTTTCCCTTCAAACACTAAACAGAGACACCCCAGTCTCCCAGCCCGCAGCGTCGTCCTTTTGGAAATCAGGGGTCGATTCATCCCCACAAAAGACCAACCGTTCTGTTGGGGGGCCGTTCTGCCGGCCAGTTTACCATGTTGTTTCTTGAGAATACCTCATGATGGAACCAGAAGTTAGCTACAAGCTTGGCACCCATTTCCCTGCCAACAACATGAGGGCGTGTGAGGCTTGTGTTAGAACAATGGCCCAGTGCGTGTTCCCTCCCGAAAAGGCTTGAGGCTTGAGGCTTAAGATAAAAAGGGAAAAATAAAAATACAAAACATGGTTCTTTCAGCGCTCCCGTTCTGCTTTCTGACTTCTGACTGCGGCTCCTCCTCCGGGTCCTTCCCTTTGGCCTTCGCCAGCGCCGTCGCCGAGGCCTTCGAGGCCTTGGGCGACGCCGCGGCCAGCAGCACCTCCGCGTCGAAGTGCTCCGGCGAGGGCGGGGCCGTCCACACCTCCTCGACGCGACTCGACGCGGCTCGAAGGAAACGGGGGCCCTCCCAGCAACTAACATGGGTCTGTGCAAACAAGGCCCTTTTCCCAGGAAAGTAATTCGCCTTAACTACAGTCTGTGCACTTCCATGTGAGCTGGGAGGGTAGAAGCCTGCCCAAAGAATGGAACCCACGCATGTCGAATGGAAAAAAACGTGTGAGAAACCAGAAAAGATGGAACCCAAGTTCAATGGGGAGAAAATGAAGCAAACATGTGATGACGTGATGTAGGATCTCTCTTTAAAATCCAAAACAATATAGAATATGATAAGCCTTCAGAAACGATTTGGTACGTACACGAAACCCGGCAACTCTAAGGAGTTTGCCCAAAACCACGTAAGGATTTGTTAACAAGTTCTGAGTTTGGCTCAAATAGGCAAGTGGGTTCCTAAGGTAGGTGATACCTAAGCCTCTTTGGGGGTTCCGCAAAGCAGGGCCTGGGTGTATTGAAGAAAATGAAAGAAACCGACCGTTCGTGCGGGGATACCCTACTTTAGACCACGCTAAGATCTTGCAGCTTCCTCACTGCGGCAAATGTCGCAAAATTGGCAAGCAGCCAGCACATGAATCCACAAACACCGGCAACCACCTGCTTCTTGAGGCTCTTGACTTGCGACTTACTGAGTCACCATGCGTTGACCTTCAAAGCAAAAAAAAAAAACGCTGGCCATATAGCCCAGAAGGTGTCAGGCTTCCGACAGCTGGTGATTCGCCCCATGCCAAAACTGCTCAGCTGCAAGGAACTCCCAAAATACACCCGAAAACGGTTGCTGTGCTTGGGCCACCACAACATTGTGTAGTCTGGGCAGCACAGCAAGCGTGAAACGAGTGAAAGCCCTCAGCCTTTCATCAAAGTCACAAGATGTCACACAGGATCTCAAGTGACTAACTCAAGGACGCTAAGTCCCTCCACCTCCCACCCCCCCAAAAAAAAAAAAAACAAGAAAAAAACAAAGCTCCCTGCCCCCCCCCCCCTCCCCCACAAACCCCCACAAACCCCCACAAACCCCCACAAACCCCCACAAACCCCCACAAACCCCCACAAACCCCCACAAACCCCCACAAACCCCCACAAACCCCCACAAACCCCCACAAACCCCCACAAACCCCCACCCCGCCTCGGGCTTGGGCTTGGGCCCGGGGCGCTTCTTCTTGGGCGCCACGCCGCTGGGCCGCGTGGGGCTCATGGCGCCGCTCCTCGCGACCGACGCCCCCGCCGGCGGCTGTTGGGCCCCACAGGTCGTCTTCGGGGGGGGGGGGTTCTCCTGCGATTCGGGGAAACGCAAACCACGAAAAAGGAGGAGAAACCTGGGTTATGTAGGGAAAACGCGAGACAAAGAGGAGGGGAAACATGGGGATGTAAGATTGGAAAGAAGAAGATGTTGACACAAAGCACGCCAAGAAGGGGAGAAAGCGTGGGTATGTGACATGTTGAAGGAAAACATTGTTTGGAAAACGCACAACTCAAGGAGCGCCACCAAAATGGAACAATTGTCACGTCCGCGGAATCAACGCGGATGAATGAAAAGGTAGTTCCCAAGTGAAGCTTCTAGGGAGGAAGCCGGGTTTCACCAACCAGGGGCCAGGAGCCCCTGGTCAACATCAGGGGAGGGGAGGACATCCGTATAGATGTTTTGTTGTTTTTTTTTGTCCCCTCTTTGGTCTGTTTTACAGACGAAACCAAAAGGAAAACCACCATTTTGGGAGGGTCCGTTGTGTTATCTCGCCCTGCTTTTTTTGGTCAGTCAACCGCAGCTATCTCACCAAGAATTCGTGACTGGTGAAATGGGCTGCTTGTGGTGGCTTGCCAAGTCAAGAACGCGGCTGTCACAGGACGATGCGAGAACTTCCAAAAGCGAGTCAACCAAATGCGCAAGAGTTGATATCATTCGCCGTTTTCATAGCAATACTGGTATGAAGGGAAGCAACCGCAACGATCTCTTGATGGCTCAAGTCTCTCGCTCTCTCGCCCTCACTAACTTCACCAAGCAGCGGTGACTCTTGAACATCGGCTTCAGGAATGAGGCCTGGGCTAACCCCCCCCCCCCCCCCCAATTCATCTCGCTCGAGTCTCCAGAGAGCGCAAAAGGAGCTGTACAGCCATCTTCACTTTTCATCATGTTCGATCTCTTTCACATCGTTCACATGTATCATCAGCTCAAGGGGATGCTGTTGCAAATGACAGTGCTTCATGAGTAAACATACAGTATTAAATGGGGTCAAAAAAATGGGAGTAAAATGACGGCTTCACCTTGTTTATAGCTGAGGCAGTCCAAACTAACCTTCACGTTCCGCAGTTTGATTCTCGGGACCCGGCCTCCCAGGTTGTCGATGGTGGGCTGTGCAACTGCTGCCTTGGCCACGGCAAAACGGCATGGCGCGAAGCACTGGAGACATGCCTAACAGCCAGTGATCAAACACCATTGCTCCTGTCTGGCCGGAACGAAGCCAAGAAATCGCCGAGCCAAGCGACGATTCTGCTCGCCGCTTTCATCAGGGAAGTGTGCACCTGGCTGACACCAAGCATCATCCAGTCTTGCAGCTGCAATACTTTTGCGTCCATTGGCATCTTTTGGACTTGTAACCCAAAAGGGGGTCGCACGAAAAATCGATGTCCCTTTTCATGGGTGTGTTTTTACGCGAGTGACAGAGAAACCACCCAGAACATGGGGGGGGGGGGGGGTCACACATTTTAAAGGACTGTCAATAAATGGGGATTGATCAAAAGGTCCTTTACATGGGATGAGCATTGGTTGCAAAACCACCAAGAAGATTCTCGTTCCCACTAAAGTGGGAAAAGTTGCCCATGGTCTTTTGCGGGCCTTTCAGGGAATACTGTGGATGGACGAAATCCATTTCGCACCACCTAAAAACCATGGTTAAAACCACTGTTTGTTGGTATTTACAGGGAATCAGACCATTCCAGGGCTTCTTGGGTGCGGGGCTTGGATTTCGCAACCATCCACAGTATTGATCAACCCCCAAATAGTGAGCTCCAAAAAATTCCCGGCGGAAGGCAGCGCGCTTCGGCCGCGGCAAATTCGTCTTTCGGGCCTGCTCCACTGCTTGGCGAGTCTCTGCCTCCGCACCTGCGAGCTGAGAAGGCCAACCAAACGGAACCCCAAATGGGCGTGGCTCATAGGAAGACCCAAACTGAAGCGGTAAATCAAAGGGCTAAGGCCCGTTTCCTGGTGGAAAAAATAGGTTCCATACCCAAATGCGTCTTGTGGGTCTCCCAAACGGCTCAATGCCTTGCAAGCCCTATGGTTTCCCCACAAAGGTCCACTAGATTGGAAGCTTTACGTGTCTCAGGCTTGCCCAAGGGAAGGGCAAAATACAATTTTAATGCCTTCGTGCATAACACCCAACCCACCGGCGGAGGGATTATGCGGGGACCGGCCAGCGATCACTGCAGCCCCTGCCTTGGCGCACAGCATCGCAGGCCTGACCGACAAGCAATCTGCAGTTTTCGAGCGCAAATGTGATTGAGCCAGGATATGGACATGGGTCAAAACCCTGTACCCCCAGTGAACATCCCAATCCCCACTAAAATAGACTAAAATGGGTGCTTCACCTACCCCAAAATGGTACCATTGGTTTTGACCCACAGCCATATGGACATGGGCAATCATGGGCAGTGTTGAAGAAGTTAAGCACCTCCAAATGGCACTGGTTTCATGGTGGCTCCCTGCAACGAGCTCCGAGCGACCAATGCCACAGGCCTGGTTCACGTAGCACTTCACCGCATGACGCGCGCACATGGCAGCCACCTCCCGCTCGTCTCCTGGCGACGAGCAGCATGTGACACCCTGACGATCCGTGTTTTTCTCCCAACAGGTCGCGCCTTGTGCCACAGTCTCCTCAAAAGCCTGCGCAAAGGGATAGAAACCCATGCTTTGTATTGGGAAACCTCAAGGGAACCGGTGCATTTCACGGAGAAAACACTCGCATCTTCAATTTGAAGTCATGGCAAGTCCAGCCGCGGCTCGCAGAGAGCCAAACTAAAAACACCATACCCGAGGATCTCTGATCTGTAAGCGGCTTCGCGGCCTTGCTCTGATTGCGCTTGGCGGCTTCAGACCACTCGGCTCGCTCCTTGCCTCGGGCCAAGAAGCGCAGGCCGCAGACGTGGCACGACACGCGGCACAACTTTGGCTTGAGGCGTCGGCCTTGGACACGCACAGATTGCTTCGCCTCGCAAACCGGCGAATGACTGACACGAGCTCTCAGAAGCACAGGTGTCCTTCTTGGGAAAATAGACGGCCCTGGTAGTTGATTGAACCCCAGGTAAACCAGGGCTTTCAAACCAAATCAACCAAAACGGACACCTATGCGCACAAGCCGCGGCAAGGCTGGCCGTGCAAGCCGTGCCGAGTGTCCAGTGAGCCCAGCGTTTGAAACGGGAGCAGTTTACTGAAACCGACTGCGTGAAATATCACCCAAGAAACCTCCATGGACAGGTCGCCGCGTTTGGGCCGGGGCAAGCCCCACTAGACCCGTACAAGGGACAGATATGGCCATAGGCCATAGGGTCAAAACCCCGTACCCCCAGTGAACATCCCAATCCCCACTAAAATAGGTTCTAAAATGGGAGGTGCACCGAAACCCCCAAAATTGGATCCCATTGGTTTTGACAACCACAGCCCAGATCAACAGAACTCGTGTTTTCCCAGATCTCACCGCCTTCTCCACAAAGCGCGCCACAGCCACACGCGCGCAAGCCGCCGCAACCTTTCGCTCCGGTCCTGCGCAGCAAATGCCATGCCCATGGATTTGACTAAGAAGTCAAAAATTATTCCATGTGCTTAAGCCACCTGGGAAAATGAGAAAGCATGACCCTTTAAAACCACCATGGGATTTTCTGTGTTTGTTTTTTGGTTTTAAAAGAAAGTATTATGTTTTGAACAAGAAGCTGCCTAATCAATCACAAAATGCCTAATCAAACACTAGTTAAAACAATGGGAAAACCAAAACAAATGACTATTCTTAGTCAAACCAATTAAAACAATGAGAAACCCAAAACCACAAAATCCAACGGAAGCCTTCGGTTTTGCACAAGGCAAGAACATGGAAGCGCAGGGCCATCACCTCCCGCCTGCTTTGCTGGCCGCCGCCTTGGCCTGCGAGTTTTGCGAGGCTGTGAGACGATATGGCTGTGGGTCAAAACCAATGGTACCATTTTGGGGAAGGTGCACCACCCATTTTAGTCTATAGTGGGGATTGGGAAGCTCACTGGGGGTACGGGCTTTTGCGTCTAAGATTCCTCTGTGGCTCCAAAAAAAGGGAGCCCTTTTAATGGCACCTTGGTAGATGGATTCAAACACTAAAACCTGCGGCTTGCCCTAGTTCTTTCATTTTGAGCCACACCCAGATGCTGGGATGTGGGATGTAAGCAAGGCTGAGTTGGCTCTGCGCTTATCACTTGCTTGCCTTGCTGGAAGCACAAGCAAGCAAGCATGTGCAGTTGGAGTTTTGTATGGCATGTTTGGGTGGCGGTTTGTGTGTGTGTGTGTGTGTCTGTGAGGGTGTGGTTCAGTGTCTCCATCCCAAATGTGTTATCCACCAAACGTCGGTGCATGTGTCAAGGCAACGACGCCTTTCAATGGAACTCAGTCTATCAAAGAAAGGATCCCCAATCAATATTCATACTCACATCTGCACCCTTTGCTCTATCTTGATCAAGACCAGCCCTCCTCCCCCAAGGCGATGCCACAAGTAACCCGGGGCCAAATTCAGCAACCACTTCAAGGCAATCCCACCCGGTTCATGCCATGTTCGAATGGCCTCTCGTTCAGAACAATATTCTCAAGGTGGCGCACTCACATCCGTTCTTAAGCAGGAAATCTCAGGCGACCCGAACAAAGTGAGTGACGCGGCTGGTCACTGGTTGCACGGTTGGGCCCTTCTTCAAGCCTTTCCCGAAAAAAGCCGAAGCCATCCGAAGCATTTAGGCACGCCAGCCGTTACGTCCCTTGCGATGTCCGTCTTTGTCCCAAAGCGTGCACACTGGGCAGCCTTCTCCAAGGAACAGGACCAGCAAATGGCATAGATTGAGAAGATAAAGCAAGCATACAAATTGGCATTGACAAGAGTGGTACCTAAGATAAATGTGTGTGAGCGAAATACAACAAACCAGGCGCATGTGCAAGATACTCTTGCGAGAAGAAAAAGTGAAGAAACAACTGATAAGCGATATGGTCTGGCAAGTCGCCTGATTGTTTTTGCAAATAAGCACAGTTTGCACACACACACACACGCCGAGAGATGTGCGCACAGACAGACAGACAGACAGACAGACAGACAGACAGACAGACAGACAGACAGACAGACAGACAGACAGAAAGAAAGAAAGAAAGAAAGAAAGAAAGAAAGAAAGAAAGAACCAAAGAAAGAACCAAAGAAAGAACCAAAGACAAACGGACAAACGGACAGGCGGGCAGGCAAACGGACGGGCGGGTGGACGAACAAACAGCAAAAACAAACAAACAAACAAACAAACAAACAAACAAAACAAACAAAACAAACAAACAAACAAACAAACAAACAAACACCCGCGAACTGACACACGCGAACTGACACATACATGCTTGATTCACACCATTCCACGCTCTTGCTCGCTCGCCTGCAAGATCTCGACTGTCCAGTCCCAAGATCTTTGGCAACAGTCCCTCTGCGGAGATTGTGCACATCCATCAGACAGTGCAAAGTCGGGGCTCCCTATATTTCCCCTTTGAACATCACCCCACCAAACGGAAATATAGGGAAAATTAGGGAACCCTGAACTTGGTTGCGCCCCCCGAAAGCCATAGTAGCGCATTGTTTGCATCCCTATCGTCCCTGGCAAGGCGTCTCAAGCCCAGCATGTGTTGTGCAACATTGCGAGAAGAACTATCCGACGCATGAGATCACATGGATTCGAGAGCTGAATCGGAAAGCCGATGCGAAATTCACCCAAGCACCGGCCACAAGCAAAAGTGCTGCTTGAGATCGGAGCTGACGCAAAACAACATGCATGTCAGCTCTGTCAAAGCCTGTTCATTCCGGCTCCCTCCCACGTGACATGGCTTGTTGCGTGAGGAATGGAAAGGATTTGGTGGGTGAAGGTAGCCAAAACCATTTCCAAACCATCCGGTACTTTGAAATCATGTTCATCCCAATGTGGACACGGTTCCATGTCTTGACTTCCTGCCGACACCACCCACCTGGCCCTTGGCTTCGCCGTGCCTTGGCCACCCAACGCTCCACTGCCCCCTTGGCGCAGGCCGCCGCGCTCGCGCGCTCCGGGCCTGGCGCGCCTGCGCTATCGCGTACCGCATCGCGCCGTGTGAGGGTCGGGGTGGGGTGGGGTGGGGGGGTTTGCGGAAGGACCGCGGCAAACCCGGCAATGCAAAAGGAAACATGGCTGTTTGAAGCCCAAACGACAAAAAGCGAAAGGACTTCAATGAAATGGACCAAGAACAAACGGGTTTTGTTCAAGAAATCCATCAAGCAAATATCAGAGACAGAGAGGTCAAATATACAGGGTGTTCTGACAGGGTGGGAGGTTTGAACAAACAGGGTCCCCTCGTGTGAGACGCGGACACATGTGTTTGTTCTTCGCAAAGGAAGCATGTAAAGGGAGACGAAAAACCATTATGAGGGGTTCAAATGCTCAAATATGTTGCTGATCTTGAGCATATGAGCAATGAGTGAGCCTCTTTTTGTTCGCTGGACAATTGAGCCAACCTGTCAATCGGACGACTATCTAAAGAGAAACCTGAAGCTCTAGCGCGGCAGAAATCGACAAATCCAAACATCCCCCCGCCCCAAGCCATCCCTTATCCCTCGCTCACCGGGGGTTTTGGACTGTTCGCCGCGCCTTGGCTCCTCATCGCCATCTGCGCCTGTCCCAAAGCAAAAAACGCTGCCACAGAAAGCGCGAAAAGTGGTGGTCCAGGGGCTTGCATCCTTCCAAGTCCGCAACACCCAGGATCCAGGTAGTTTGTTTCAAGGGGAGGGAGTCTTTTTCTGCCAGAAAGTACCCCTTGCCCCTTCTGCCCGTAAAACGGCAAAGGGTCACCACACATGTTTGTCGTCGTTGGTTCTTCCCAAGGCTTGGCCTTTGCCAGCCATCGCGCCGCCGCCACCCGCGCGCAGCCGGCCGCCACGTCCCGCGCATGGCCTGTGACCATGGCCCACCCAATAACATGTAAACAACTCCAAAGGCGGATCTTCGCATCTATTTGGCCATGAACTTTAACGGGGAACCACTTTTGACACCGAATTTTGATGTCCACTAAAGGGTCCCTAAGTAAAATTCATGGCCATTTGTGGCTACGCTAGGATTGATTGTGGCTCAAATGGCCCACTCCATTGCCCACTACCCACTACCCACTCTGATTCGGGAGAGTTGCCTTTGGCCAATCCGAACGGATGTCGGGATCACTGGGAGGTTGCAAAACGGCGACAACCTTCCCCTGTTGCCCCTTCAAAACCGAAGCAAAAAACATCGACTTGGCCCAAATGGCGTTTTCTCAGGGGGAAAAAAAAGAGGCAATAGCATGTGTATATCTATATATATATATATGTATGCTTTGTACGCGTATGTATTCATATATATGTATATATATCCATGTATACATATATACATATATATATAGATACATATATATATATATATTATATATATACTCGTATATCTATATAGTCATTTATTCATTTGTAGGGAACCACGTACGCGCAAAGCTCGGCAGCGCAGGCCTGCAGCTTCCTCAGCGCCCTGTTGCTGCTGGCTTCTCGCTTCTGCTGCCTCAGATTTCTGAGACGTGCGAGTCATCCAGATGGCTCAAACGAGAGACCAAAATGGCATTAGATTCATAAACCCCTGGGTGATTCAGAGGGGGGTCCCCTTTTAGTGGGGATTCATCACCCTAATTTACCAAAATGGCACCTTAGTAACTGGGCTGCCCTCAGATCCCCTGCGAAAAGCTTAACTTTTAGTGGGTTAAATGGAAACTACCACTAAACACTAAAAGGCTAAAAAGCTAAGGGGGCCACCAAGGTAAATGGAACTAAACACTAAACACTGCGTGATATAGCTCTTGAATTTTGAGCCACACCCATATCGAGGCAAGTCCCAAAATAGGAAGCCCTGCACAGCAGTTGTCTTTGTTCCCTCTAGGCACCATCCAAAAGGAAAGCCTCGATCTGCGGACACCCAAATAAACAGCGACAAGGCAAAGCAGTCTACAACGAGGTCAACCATCACAAAGCAACAACAAACCACAAACCAAGCCACGCTGCAACAACCCAAAGCGTCCAAGCCAAACATTCGCTCCGACTTTGTCACAGCTAGGCCCGAAGGGAAACCATGTCTTGAAGACCGTTGTAGGGGTTGCTTCGAAATCCCCTACAATCTGTCCCAGCCTTCAAGGTGTGTGCCTTCAAAGGATTTCGCCATACAATTCGGCAGATGCAATCCCTACGTGCGCCTCGCCTTGTCCACATAATGCTTCACCGCTTCGCGGGCACACAACGAGGCAACGTCCTTGGCTGCGCCTGACGGATGCAGCCAGCAGTGGGGCCCAGGAGTGGATGCGGCACCAGGCTTCTCTGTGAGGCCATTTGGAGGCAACTGAATGTGGTGCAACCATGTGTCTGTACTTGAACAGGAGGAATCTCAACTGTGGGAAACCTATGGCCACTGGCCAAACACATGGCTCATCAGCATTGTTTTGGGCCCCTCAAAAGGTGCAGGACATGCCCACAAAAAAAAGAGCCAACAAACCTGGGTTGGTCTCCCAATGGGCTTGCCCCAAAAAGTTCGACAGACCGGGGCGATTCCCCCCGCCACCGGCTTCGGCAAGAGCTCGCGCTTCGAACTCGATGCCCGCAAACCAACACTCGCTCGGTCGTTTGGCATTCTTTGTTGTTTGCTGCAGTTCTCCGCAGTGGCAGGAACCTCATCACAAGAAAGCGCACCAGGTTGCAAAGAAGAAGGCTGAAGCAGAATAGGGCCTGACATGGCAAAGGACACTCTTGAAGCTCCGAAGCCTGCCAAGAGTACAAAGGAAGCCAAGGCCGATGCTGCCAAGACAGCCACGGCAGCCAAGGCAGCCAAGGCAGCCACAGCAGGTAAGAAAAGGTGCGCGAAGCTTTCCAAGGCAAGCAGTAACGAGGCTGAACCCCGCGGCAGCACAAAGACTGCGAAGTCTGGCAAGCATGCAGCTTGGCTTGATGTGGGGCTGATCCGAGGGTTCTTGAATGTCTTCCTGAGTCCTAGATCCGATCGCTTTTGCCTCCTGGTTTGCAACGGCAAGGCTGCATGTGCTATGAGGCTATGAGCGAATGGATTGGCAGTCAAAGAACAGTTCGGCCAAGTGTTACTTGACTCACTTGTTTTTCTATCAACAGCACCAGCATCACCGGCATCGCCTGCATTATCCAAATGCAAGGTCTCTTATCTCTCTGTGCGGACCTTTCCCAAGTGACCGAGGAAATTGCACACAAAAACCTAGGCATCCAAGACGTTCTTTAGATGTCCATGCTTAAGAGTTTAAGATATTTAAGCCGTTATGACGTTAAGTTTTAGCCACTCAGGTTTCAAGATGTGAAGCCGCCAAGATTTGAAGATGTTTATATATTGAGATTTGGAGATTTTTAGCCATTAAGATCTTCAGATTTGAATCCATTAAGATTCTAAGCTGTTCAGCCATTAGTATGTCAAGATATTCAGACCTGGATATGTTCATCCATCAAGGTTGGGTTTGTTGAAGGCCATGATGAGGGGTTCAGGGTCTCGAGGGGTGGCAGGGGCTGAAGGGGCAAAAAAAGAGGCCCCTAAAACAAACAAACAAACAAACAAACAAACAAACAAACAAACAAACCGACAAACCGACAAGAAGAACAAACAAACAAAGAAACAAAGAAACAATTCCCAAATGCGAGGAAGTTGCTTGCCAAACCTACAGGCATCCCCAGCTAGGGAAAAAGTCATACCCTTTGGCCTCCCCTTGAAAGTCACCTTGACTCGGCAACAGCTATAAGTCAGCTACAATCTCAGGTCACACGCCAAGTTTGGTGACCGAGAACTGGAGCCCTCATATCGAAGGCAACAGCCATAAGTCATGTCAGACTCTACAAAGGCCAGCTCTTTATGGTTGCACATGTCCCTCGTCTCCACTCATGAGGAGGTTTAGGCGTTGGCTTGCTTGAGTCCCGGACAATATCTGGCGTTTGAACAGTCTACCTAAAACCTTGAATGGGCCTGTTCCTTCCACATTCTGGCACCCCCTGTTTTTTGGTATCAAAGTTCACAAATTGGTGGCTCACACCCAGGCCTTGGATCGCCTTTGCTGCCAGCGCCTGCAAAGGCATCCAACCATCCGGGCGTTTCTCGCAACGCCGCGCTTGAGGCTGGCGGTTTTCAAACCCAACCCCCCCCCCCCTTCCACCGGTTTTTTTGGGACCCTGAACTTAGAGTTGTGGACCCGCTAAGAGGGTTGGGCAGGGGGATGAAGTAAACAGATTTTGGGAGAAGATGACATCACTGCGTGTGGCTCGCTCAGACCTTCGGATGCTCCTCTGGTGTTGTTCTTCCAAGCGCTCGATCGCCAAGTCCGAATCCATTCAGATGATTTGGGAACGGTGCGCAACCGACCTTGGGGTGAGATGCCCTGTTTTGAAAGCACATAGTTGGAAACGGCTGAGAATTGGGAAGAACTGGTCTCAAACCCAAATCCGAAGTGACGGGGCAAACCCAACAACCTTGTTCACCCCAACAACCTTGTTCACCCCCAAAAAGGGGTACGCTCAAAAGAGGCAGATATGCATTTCGAACAAGTCGCATCTCGAATTCGACCCGCCTTCTGGATCAGATCCTGGACAAACTTCTGCGCGCATGCCTGGGCGGCCGTCCGCCCCGTGGCCTCGGTCAGGGAAATCCGTGAGCGAGCCCCATGTCCAGGTGTTCCCAACTGATGGACGAACTCCATTTCGCACTGTTCAGAAACCCCGGTGTCTGATTCGATTCGCCCGTATGCACCAACAAACAATGGTTTCAACCATAGTTTCACAGCGGTGGATCCACAGTATGCTTTAGGATTGACATGAGCACGGAAGTCGCCTCGACTTTGAATTGCAGCTGGGGCGCTCTCTCCAGCAACTTCCGTACATAAAGCACGGCACCCTGGTCCACGTTCGACATTGCGTCGGCGAGTCGGGCTTCAAGAAAGCCTTAAGGAAAAGCAACCGGAGTGGGCCCAGCCAAGTGGATGCTGGAAGTTCTGGCGATGCGCGTGTGACGTCAGAATCGTCTGTGAGCATGGCGGCGCGGATCGAGCGATGCCAGGAACACTCCACAGCACTGCGGCTCAGACTTCGAGAGTGCTTCAGTACCGGCAGCATTGGTACTTCGTGGCAAAGGTCTCAACATATAACCATGGGTCAAAATCCAAATCGTACCCCCTGTGAACACTTATCCCCCAAAGCCGTAGACACCTCGTGCAAACAGACGGCCGCCGCAGTCACCGGAGTCCTGCCGCTTGATCTGCTGCTGAACCTGCCCCAGCGGATGGGAGCATTTTTTTGCGAGGCAAGTGCGGCCGCGGCACTGGCGGCAGCCCTTTGAGAGTCGGAAGGGAAGAAGAAGCCACCCCATTTCTGGATGAGTCTCATCCCATTTGGGTTGGCAAACCGACATGTTTCACACAAAACTTCCGAAGCGCTTCTGAAGGGCCATGGTTTATTCACCCAGACTTGGCCTCAAGGCGGCAGGGGTTCTTTCAAGGAGATTCCGTGCTGCTCTCGCGATTTCGGGTTGAAACAGGTTTGGCTTGGGCTGTCGCGTGTCTGGGATGGCTGAGTTGGTGGCTTTGGGTTAGTTCAGTGGTTGGGATATCCTTCAAGCCCTGGGTTGAGGCGATACAAACTTTTGGCAGCCTTTGGCGGGATAGGGTTGCTTCACGCCCCGGGTTGAGGCTACAAATGGAGGAGCCACAGTCTCAGCCTTTACGCGAGGAGGGGACAAAAACGGTCTTGGGACTCGGGTAAAAGTGTGCGCTTTGACGATGTTCTGCGAATCTTGCCGCTTCGGTTTTTGCAAAGCCAAGCCGAGGCCTGCCACGCTTCCGCTCACACCACGCGCCGTGCGGAGCAAACTGACCCAGCTGGACAAAGATTCCGCCGAGCCATCCTGAGTCCTTCGTGGCAAACCTCATGGGTGTGGCTCAAAATCAAGAAAGCTAGCGTTACACAGGTTTAGTCTTGGCTCCATTTTCCAAGGGTGCCATTTTGGTACGTTGAGCCACAGCCAGCGAATCTCACGTAACCAGCCCCGCATGCGTCCGAGGTAAGCTCCGGCCTTGTACTCGTGGAACTCCGCCTTGGCCGCCTTCGTCTCCTCGCGACTCTGCCTCAGCGCCTCAGCTTGAGTCCCATGCAACCACGGCGTGCAACTGGAGTTTGGGAAGAGGGCTCACCATTGGCTCACCCAAGTGGGCTGAAGGGAAACCGTTCCATTTTCTCACTTGATAACCCCCAACCGTCGAAATGACCCCTGTTGCAACTGGAAAAACCAGGAAATTAGGAAAAGGGCCCAAATGTCCGAGCTCACGTGACAAAGGAGAATCGCCAAGCTAAATCATCAATGACTTCTGTGGCAAATTGCCAAGCTATGTGCAAATTCTTGGACAAATCGTCACGTCAGGTCCCAAACGGGTGTCTTTTCGGGAAGGCTGTGCCGTTGGGGATTGCGTCAAAGGCAAAGCGACACCCACTCATTTTGAGGGCTTCCATGGTTGAGACGAGGCATGGAGGAAAGTGCAAAATGGGGAACGTTAAACATTGAGCAACTGGTGAGTGACATCAAACCCTGATACTCAAGGAGTCTGCACCGGTCACCTTGATTGTGTCTCTCACCGGCCGGCTGCTCACTGCAGGCCGCTCCTTTTTCCTGGTACGCAGAATCCGTTGGCTTGAGCTGCTTTGCTTTACGTCACCTTGGCGCAAGCAGCAAGCTGCAGGTGTCTTTCGTTTGGGAGGCTACCCTTCTTGCGGCGCTTGCAGGGAAACCAACTGCACAAATCCTCTTGGGGGAACCAACTGCAGGCAAACAACTTTGGGGGCAAAAGGCGTGACACAAAAAGAAAATACCTCTTTTTTGTTGGGGGGGGGGGGCCTTCGCAAGCAAAGGCCAACAGAAAGTTGAGAACTGCATCCGAAGCACAGGAATGCCTCCAGGCTCCACCTTGCCGCCACCTTGCCATGCCCAGAAAACCCGCCCCCGCCCCTTCTTCAAAGCTCCTCACCAAAATTGGAAAATTAGCCACGAGCATTGGACCAAGCACTTTCCTCAGTTGCCCAAAGGACCCATAAACAAAAGGTTCACCTTTTGCAACCTTTACCATAAGCAGACCAAAAATCCAGGAAACCAACAGGTCACAAGGTTGGCTTTTGGACATAACTGAGTCTCTGGTCAAGCAAGCTCCTCTCAAAATCAAATCCTCGAGTTCAGCCTCGGACATCTCCAAAACCTGAGGCAGTGGCTCTTTGGCGGCACTGCCTGCAGCATCAAGCATCACTGCATGGCCAAAGACTCTGTTGGTCTCAAATGCTGGAACCACCCGTCTCCCCCGATTTTAATTAATGGGGCTTGCAAACCAACACCAATAGGAGAAGCTCGTGACTTGGGGTCCATACACAAAAAACGCCAGCGCCTTCCAAGGAGGGCGGCGCCAGCTTGCAGCGTGCAAGCTGCAGGGCCCACAGTCAGCGCCCCGCCCTTGGACTTGCAGAAATCCATTCTTGCTGGTGGGTGGGTGGGCGGGCGGGCGGGCGAAGGTGGGTGGGTGGGTGGGTGGGTGGGTGGGTTGGGTGGGTTGGGTGGGTTGGGTGGGTTGGGTGGGTTGGGTGGGTTGGGTGGGTGGGGTGGGTGGGGTGGGTGGGGTGGGTGGGGTGGGTGGGGTGGGTGGGGTGGGTGGGGTGGGTGGGGTGGGTGGGGTGGGTGGGGGGGTGGGTGGGTGGGGTGGTGGGGTGGGTGGGGTGGGTGGGGTGGGTGGTGGGTGGGTGGGTGGGGTGGTGGTGGGTGGGTGGGTGGTGTGGGTGGGGTGGGTGGGAGTTGGGTGGGTGGGGTGGGTGGGGTGGGGGGTGGGGGGGTGGGGTGGGGTGGGTGGGGTGGGGTTGGGTGGGTGGGTGGGGTGGGTGGGGTGGGTGGGTGGGGTGGGGGGTGGGGTGGGTGGGGTGGGGTGGGTGGGGTGGGTGGGGTGGGTGGGGTGGGTGGGGTGGGGTGGGTGGGGTGGGGTGGGGTGGGTGGGGTGGGTGGGTGGGGGTGGTGGGGTGGGTGGTGGGGTGGGGGGGGGTGGGGTGGGTGGGGTGGTGGGGTGGGTGTGGGGGGGGGGTGGTGGGGTGGGGGTGGTGGTGGTGGTGTGGTGGGTGGGTGGTGGTGGTGGGTGGTGGTGGGTGGTGTGGGTGGGGTGGGTGGGTGGGGGTGGGGGGGTGGGGGTGGGGTGGTGGGGGTGGGGGTGGGTGGGGTGGTGGTGGGGGGGGGTGGGTGTGGGGTTGGGGTGGGTGGGTGGGTGGGTGGGGTGGGGGTGGCGGGTGTGGGTGCGGGTGTGGGTGCGGGTGTGGGTGGGGGTGTGGGTGGGGGTGTGGGTGGGGGTGTGGGTGGGGGTGTGGGTGGGGGTGTGGGTGGGGGTGTGGGTGGGGGTGTGGGTGGGGGTGTGGGTGTGGGTGTGGGTGGGGGTGGGTGTGGGGGTGGGGGTGGGGGTGGGGGTGGGGGTGGGGGTGGGGGTGGGGGTGGGGGTGGGGGTGGGTGTGGGGGTGGGTGTGTGGGGGTGGGTGTGGGGGTGGGTGTGGGGGTGGGTGTGTGGGTGGGTGTGTGGGTGGGTGTGTGGGTGGGTGTGTGGGTGGGTGTGTGGGTGGGTGTGTGGGTGGGTGTGTGGGTGGGTGTGTGGGTGGGTGTGTGGGTGGGTGTGGTCTCGAAGACTCTGCCTCTGGGACGTGAGCTGCAGGATATACCCTCCAAACACCAGGGTTGGGCTAACTTCCTATACAAGCGTCTCCAGCTGGCTTGCTTGAGATATACGGCCATGTCGGTCCCTTCTATAGATATACTTTTAGCTGGGCGAGTCACCAAGGCACAGGCAGAGCCAACTGACAGTCAACTGCCTGCAACCGAGGTAAAAGAGTCTGGTTGCTAACTTGCTGGTGCGATAGGTAGGAAATGGAGGAATGAAACCACCAGTTGGATGGTTTATAAGGGTCATTCCATTTCTCATTCCCTGCCTATCGCACCAGCTAAGGAATCCAAGGGCTGATTGTTCAACTGGAGCAGGCTCCCGGAGCCGGTTGATGGTTCATCGGCGGTCTTGCACCTTCATCCCGCAAACTTGTTCTTGTTTACCGCTCACAGAGCCAGCTTGAGCTGGGTGATGTCGCTGGCTGTATCACAGGACCTTTACTCTTCTGATATGTTTATCAGATCAGAGGCCAAGTTATCGCTACCTCATAGAATTATGTTCATGCTCTGCAATCTGGACAAGCTTCATCTAGAGCAATGTGTGTTGATTTGTCTGCAGAGCGGCTGCCTGTATGGCCACTAACCAAAAAGAATCGAGCAGGCCTGGTGCATGGAAGGGACCTGAAACACCCGACTCAGCCAAAGCCGAGCTGCGTAACCAAGCCCGGAAAGCAGGCCCTGGTCTACGTCTTTCTCCTTCTCCGCATTCACATCCTCGCGACTCCACTCCAAACAGACTTCGTTTAGGCTCTCTGAATCAGAGCCCATAGCTATAATAAAAAGAAAATCACTTTCCCACTCTTCCTTTGAAGACAAAAACATCATGCCCCCATAAAACAAAAGGAACATGATCTTCCAGGATCCCCTGAACGTTAGCATACTGAGAAACCCAGTGACACCCCCCTGCAGTCGGTCGAATCTGTCCTCCCGGTACAAGGGTCCGCAGGGCTTCTCGATGCCCTTGCCATCGAAGCACCGGATCACCTCCACGCTCTTTCCTGAGCCCAGCCCCTGCCCGCCCTTGGAAAAACAACTCCGTGAAACCTGCAGAAAAACCTACAGAAGCCAACAGAAAGGTAATACAGCACCACAGAACCCATAGTAACTGGCTGTGGTTCTCAAAAATAGTTGGTAACCCCCAAAGAACTTACCCAATGGGTAAATGGGAAAAATCGACGGGAGAAGAAAAAAATAGCGGTCCACATCCTGGTGGTGACTAATTTTGACCCATACCCAACTCATCGAAACCTGCAGGAAGCCTACAAACCTGCAGGAAGCCTACAGAAACTAACAGAACTTCTTAGAGTACCACAGAACCCATAGGACCCATAGGATTGCTTGGTGTGGTGAAGCACTCACTCATTGCCAAGCCGCCCTTGCCGATGACCTGGCAATGCGGTATTTTCCGCTCGCTCTCACAAGTCATCTTTCCACTGGCCCCCGGAACCCATATTCGTGTATGCGGGCTTTCTATGGGTCACTACTTGAATCTACGGGTGTTCTACGGGATACTAGGGGCAAAGTCTGGGTTCCACATGTAGGGCTCAAAAAGAACATGATCCATCCAAAAGGCGTCAAGCTGTTAAAATGCAGTGTTCATTTCCTATGCTTTCCATGAGAACTACCATGGGCCCTGAAAGCTACGTTCTGAAGATTTACGCCTTCTTTGGGATTGGCGAGGCCGCCCAGGAAAGCTACACCTCAAAAAGAACTGCGAAAGCCGCGAAAGCCTCAAAAGAAGCGGAAAAAGCGAAGTGCGTTCCAAATCACAAAAATACACATGTCACATCGCCCTCCTTAGTAGCAAGACCCATATTCTGGTCGCGACAGGAAAGATGGGCCCGGGCGGATCCTTGTTCTTGATCCGACGGCATGTCTTCTCACAATTCAAACCCTTGCTCCGCCACGTTGAGTGTCAGAGTCCCTGGGGCTGAATCTGGGAGAGCAAGTACATAGAGGCCAAATCCGGTGATTCGGAATGCAACAGCGCCGCACTTGAGTGTCCACTAACCCGCCTTTGCAGCCAAAGTCTGGGGATTTGTCATGCTGAAACCCCACCCCACCCCCACATCTCCTGGAAACAACCCACCCCTACTCCACAATAACATGCCACCCCTACCCCCCCCCTACCCCACCCCCGAGAAACAGGCCCCCTTGTGGCTTTTGGGCCGTCGCCCCCGAACCCGTCCCGGCCGTATGGTCCGTCTCCACGTGGACGTTGCCCGTGCCCTCCAGGCCCTGCCGCTTCCAACTCTCCGCCGGCATGCCTCACGGAGCCGCCGCTTTTCGCTCGGGGCCGAAGCACTCAGCTGGGTCCTCCAGAGTTGAGAGGTTGGAAGAAGTGGGGTCCCGCCTCTTTTTTCAGCTTTGTCTCTTTAAGTCGGGGAGCCCTCCCCCCCAAAAAA